TAGGACCTGTAATTCAGTGTGGTTTTACCTTGTTACATTCTGTATGTGCCTGTTCCAAGTTAGGACCTGTTATTCAGTGTGGTTGTTGTTTCATATACAGTATCATATTTTTATTGTTTTGTACATAAATCAGGCCAGTTTCTTTACTTGTTTGAATTGTTAGACATTTGTTATTTTTGTGCCTTTTAAAGCTTGCTTATTATGCAGTATGGGTTTTGCTCACTGTTGAAGGTCGTACGGTGACATGAACTTAATAACCTATATATCATATGGTCTCTGGTGGAGAGTTGTCTCATTGGTTATTATACCAGAGGGGTGGATCCAGCCATTTTTAAAAGGGGGGTTCCCAACCAAGGATCCGGAAATTTTCCCAAGTCATTTCGGTCATTTTTTTTTGTGATGTAATAATATCGTGATGCACAATAATGCATTTTTCTGAGGGTGACAAGTCTTGCACATGGACAAGTAAAGTCCTTTTTTGTGAAGTATTGGGTCAAACAAGTGTAACTGTACCCTGATCTAACAGTAACAGTGATGTCTCTGAGTTAGAAACTACACGAGGAGACGTTTTGTTGTTGTGTATTGCATCACTGAGGTCGTATGCATAACCCTTTAAATTTGCATAAATTAAAAGAGGAATAATTACGGCATGTTTCATCATTTTGAAATAAAGTTATGTAAACCAATTAATAAACTGTGTTGAGTTTCTTATTGCATGTACAAGATATCGTTTGTATTGTTCAAATTGCTGCTGTTTGGATGAGTGTAAGTGATTACCTAGTACACAACAAGATAATGTGTATTCACCTGGTTTACGATAAGAGGATCAAAAAGGGGAAACTATGATTCAACTTTTCTTTGAATAAATAACTCAAGTCTGGTATAGTGATAACAATTGAATTTAATAATAAAATTCATGATTTTAAATAAATAAATAATTTATCTGAACAGAAGTTTGAACACAATTACAACAGTTCAATGAAAAACAATTGCATTGTAATACAGTCCAGAGAGAATGTATGGCTTCACTTGGGTAAAAATCGGAAGTTTAGCCAGGAAAACAAAAGAAAGGATAACGCCCATTACATTCTGTGAGTAAGATGGTTTCAAAAAATCGGAAGTGCAAAAAAAACAAAAAGAAATCGAGATTGTTCATTCGCTGAGTATATTTCTTAAATAGGCTGTATGGCTTCAAATCTAAATTACGTTATTTAGTTTTAATTCCTTTTTTGAACATTTTTTTTTAATTCTGCATTCCTATAAATTATACGCTTTACCACTTTTGTAAATCTATTAATATCTTTATCTGCCATTTCCTACCGAAAAGTTAACAGTAAAATCGATCTTTCAAATAAGATCATCAATTAACCCATGTTGATCCCCATTTTCCATGCGCAAACTCAGTAAACATAAATCTATATTTAACAAACGTTGACCAAATCAGCTGATCGATTATAAATGGATTATATGTTTTATTTGGATAAAAATGGACAGATTCTCGAGTCAACAGTGTTATTTGACTTCTTTAATGAATAAAATAATATCTTTTTGGGAAAATCTAGGTCAGAATGGTTAAAACGTTAAATTTGATGCACAGCAAATCGCCATATTGTTTTTATTGCTTAACAGGTGTTTACAGGTGAGATTTGTGTACATGGCCTTTATGGCTTTAATCAAGACAATAACGACACCCAAGCCGAATTCAAACTTCCTGGACATTGATTACTATCCTCAAGTGGTGATAATTACTATGTAAACAAACCTAGTGGCTTGAACCCAGACTTACCCCACGCTGTGACTCGACAGAGTCCTGTACATTGTTTTTACTTACATTATAGAATAAACAACAGACTAATGATAAATATTATTAAATCACTAACACAAATCAATAAAATTTTTATTTTGTCTCAAACAAATCTATTTTTCTTGATGACCTGAAAACAAAAATAAGTTCAAAATGGCGACTGATAAAACCCTGATCTCAATGAAATGACCGAAATTATTTCTGTAAAAAAAAAAAAAAGACCTAAATCCCAATAAATCATTTCGGTCTTTTCAGTTTCCAAATCGGTCATGTCTGGCATATATGACCGTTTCCGGACCCTTGTTCCCAACCCAGGATAAAGGGGGGTTCCAACTATATGTCCCCATTCAAATGCATTGATAGTCCAAAAAAAAAAGGGGGGGTTCCAACCCCCAGAACCCTCCCTCTGGATCCGCCACTGTACCACATCATATATTTATACAAATGATACAAATCTACATAGCTCCTTTGATTCATGTATCACAGCTTTAAATACGGGGTAGTTGCATTGAAAAAAATTGTGTTCATCTGATTCATTTTAAAGAAAAGTTAAAATGGGCCAGTCATATGGGTATAGTTTTCTCGTTTGAATTGTTTTACAATTGTGATTTTGGGGCCTTTTATAGCTGACTATGCAGTATGGACTTTGCTCATTTTTGAAGGCCATACGGTGACCTATAGCTGTTTATTTCTGTGTCATTTTGGTCTCTTGTGGAGAGTTGTCTCATTGGCAATCATACCACATCTTATTTTTAGTCCCCTACCGACGAAGTCGAAGGGGACTTTAGGTTTGCACTCGGTCCTTCTGTCCCTCTGTCCATCCGTCAGTCCGGCAAATCAGCTTTCCACACTTTTTTTCTTTGTTCTTGAAGATATTGATTTGATATTTGGTATATAGTTTTATCGTGACAAGTTATAGATCAAGTTCGAATTTTGTTCCGGTCTGATGATTTTTTGAAAGACATTCTTTGTTAAATTATTTGAAGAATTTTTTGGCAGGTTTGTTTGTTATTTAGTATAAGCTAATTTTCTGAATGCAATATATATAAAAAAAAAATTATGAACAGAAATCCTTTAATTAGATAATAATCTATTTTTATTAATGTATATATTTCAATACATTACATTGTGTAGATAAAAGTTGTTGACATTTTATAGATAAGTTACAAATCTATATTAGTGTGTGACAAATGAAAGAAAAAATATTTGGAACTATTAATTATATTTGATTATAATTTGAAAATAGATATACACTGTATTACATCATATCTAATTTTAGAGAACTATTAATCATATCTTATGTTTTTTTCACTCATATAATCAGTTTTCCACACTGTTTTTATATGCCCGTTTACGGGACGTATTATGGTATACCGTTGTATGTCCGTCTGTCTGTCCGTCGTCAACATGTCGGACATTAACTCAAAAACGCTTTAACCAATTTGCTTAAAACTTTGGTGAATTGTTTATATCTATTGACATGAGCTCCCTTTGGATTTTTATAAATTTTAGATTTTACGTTTCCGAGTTATGGGGTTTTATTCATAAAAAAAAGGGGGATTTTCCTGTTTTCAGACAATAACTCAAAAATGCTTACAGCAACGCTTTAACCAATTGGCTTAAAACTTGGGTGAATTGTTTATATCTATTGATGTGAGCTCCTTTCGTTTTTTATAAATTTTAGATTTTACGTTTCCGAGTTATGGGGTTTTATTCATTAAAAAAAGGGGGATTTTCCAGTTTTGGGACAATAACTCAAGAATGCTTTCACCAACTTGCAAGAAATTTTGGTTAATTGTTTATATCTATTGACATGAGCTCCCTTTGGACTTTTATAAATTTTAGATTTTACGTTTCCGAGTTATGGGGTTATGGGGTTTTATTCATAAAAAAAGGGGGATTTTCCAGTTTTCGGACGATAACTCAAAAATGCTTTCAGCAGTTCTCATGAAACTTTGATGAATTGTTGATATCTATTGATGTAAGCTCCCTTTAGAATTTTATAAATTTTAGATTTTACATTTCCGAATTATGGGGTTTATTCATTAAAAAAGGGTGATTTTCCAGTTTTCAGACAAAAACTCAAAAATGCTTTCAGCAATTCGTATGAAACTTTGGTGAACTGTTTATATCTATTGATGTAAGCTCCCTTTAGAATTTTATAAATTTTATTTGTTTACAGTCTGACAACAGATTTACTAAGTATTGCGCAACAGCACAGTGTATTGCACAACAGCAAGAAATCTTTAATTGAATATAAATTCAATTCATATAACCAACTTCAAGTTCTTTGACTACATTTATTCAGAAACCTATAATAGATGTATGTCAAATATTTAATTACAATCCAAATTCAGACCTGTATCAAGCTTGAATATTGTGTCCATTTTTGCCCCAACTGTTCAGGGTTAGACCTCTGCGGGCGTATCCAGCTGCGCTCAGCGAAGCAGTTTATCAGTCATGTTTGAAGATATTGACATGATATCTACTTTTTGTTTGCACCATGGCAAGTTATAGAACAAGTTAGCATTTTGTTCCAGTAAAATGAATTTTTACCCGGTAGGGGACTATGTATTGCCATGCAATACTCTCAGAATGCTTGTTTATATTTAGTTTAAATTTTCCACTTAATGTCCAAATAAGGGTAATTGTTTGATTGAGAGGTGACGATCATTTTTTGATAAAAATCATCATCTACCAAAATTTTGTATGAGTGATTTTACAATTTTGTTTGTTGGTGTTTAATGCCACTGTTTGGTTTCAACATGGTTTTTGTTGGTGCAGATAGCTTGAGAACCCCGGTACCCAGAAAGAACATGCAGACTGGGCAGGAGAGTTGACAAACCTTGTCAATTAAAATCATGGTACCGTAGACAGTGGGCGGGATAATTGGCAATTCTTGTCAATTAACATCAAAGTCCAATTAACCTTGCCATTGTTAAACTCACAACCTCAGAGCTAAGAGAATAGCAATCACTGTAGGTAAATTACTTTAAAACTCTGTCACCGTGACCTAAAATTGATCTGTTGGATGAGATTAGCAGTTTACTGTTTTTTTCACAATTTTTGTTTGGCAATGTGCAGAATAAAAAATAAAGACTTTTAAAATGGCGTACTATATAAACAAATGTAAGTTGATATATCATTAATTGATATACAAACAATAATAAATATATTTTTATTTTTATTTTTTCAGGTGATGATACAGAATTTCTACCTAAGGATGACTTAAACAGTGCAACAAGCTCAGTTACTGGTATCATGACTCCGACATTTCCCGTGGAAATACTGATGTAAACAAAAACTCTGAAAGAGATATTTATAGAAAAGTAAAAGAATGGAGGAAAGGAAAAAGGAAGAAGAATCAGTAACCATGCCGATTGATCCATCCCAGATCAAGACAGAACATCCTGACATCTTCGACATTGGTCCAAACTATTAATAGGAACTCTGAGATTTGTCCAAGGAAGTTCAATAGGTCATACAGAGACATTGAAACAGAAATGATTATGACAGAAATTACTGGATCCCAGACTGGTTCCCCAGTTCAAAAAGAAACAGTTGTCAACATTAAAAAGGAGCCTAATAGTTCACCTATCAAAAGTTTGATGCAAAAAGGTTTAGAAGATAGTGACCAGTGGGGCAATTACAGTGAACTTGATATTGATAGTGTTGTTAATGTTGTCAATAGTAGAGACGAGGGGAGACAACTGGCAGATTGTCATGTAAATATTGTGAAAATTGAAGACCAGGGGAGACAACTGGCTGATTGTCATGTAAATATTGTGAAAATAGAAGACCAATGAAGCTTAGGCAACTTGAAGATGGCATTGTAAATTTTGTGAATAGAGAAAACCATGGGAGAGAACAAGAAGATAGTAATATCACTATTGTGAAAGAAGAAATACAGGGGAGGCAACTAGAGGAAGAGGCATATTTACAGATGGATGATATTGAAGCTCTTGTTCATTATATAAATAGAAATTCGCATTCATTCAGTCCTTCGAAGAAAAAATGCTTCTCAATAGCCATCATTGTCATCTAAACCTAAAACAATTGTTGGCCTGCGATTGACAGATGACAACAAAGGAAGTAAATCTCCAAATAAAAAGGGAGATAACTCTTTATCATTATCACCAAAAATGAAAAAGAACTATAAATTAAAAGACTGTTCTGTGGTTTTGGACACTGATAAAGACATCAGTCTAAACTGCTGAATTTACAGAAAAATGCAGAGTCTGGAAAGGAAGACATGAACAGTAGTGTACATGATTTAAAGAGAAGTGGAGACATTTTTGATTTTAAAAATGTTGCAAAGAAACCCAAAATTGGTCCAAAATGCATGAAAAGACAAGACAAAGATGACGTAAAAGATCACAAAAAGTCTAAATTTGTTATTGACCACAAAGCCAAAGTTTTGAAACTGAATTTATCAAGGTTGGATAAAAATCTGGAAGCAAATGAGACTGATAAAGAGATTGACAAAGAAGTGACAAAAAAGTTAGAAATTGAAAATGAAAGGAGGAAAAATCTGAAAGTAAAAGTAAACCGACAAAAATTTCAGTAGAGAATAAAGAAAAAGAAAGATCAGATAATGAGAGTCGACATATAACATCTTCTACAGATTGAAATAGAAAACAGGACAGAAAACATGAAAATAACAGTCGGGAATATTCAGACAAACATAAACATTCAGAAAAACATAAACATCCCCATTCAGAAAAGCATACACATGGAATTTCAGAAAAACCTAAACATGGACAATCAGAGAAGCATAAACATGGGAATTCAGAAAAGCATAAACATGGATATTCAGAAAAATCTAAACATGGACAATCAGATAAGCATAAACATGGAAATTCAGAAAAGCATAAAGAAGTCAAAGGAGAAAATTCTGAAAAGTACAAGAATATTCCTGATAAAAGTGGTTCCAAAAAAGGAGATGATGACAAGCAAATAAAATCATCAAAAAATCTAAAGAGGAAAGCAAATGAAGAGGAAAACATTATCAGTAAAAAGTCAAAGCACGATGACAAAACAGAAAACTGTGACGAAAAGAAAGATTCCTTAAAAAGACCCGAGACTAAAATGATATCTGTTGAGGTCAAGAAGAAAGAAAATAAAAAGGATGAAAAACTGCATGAACCATCGAAGAAATTGGAGGAAAGCTTAAGTAATGCTCCTAATACTAAAGAATTGACAATGAAATGTAAACTTTGTAAAGAAATCCATAGCTCTAAATCAGCATTAGAAAAGCACATGATCAGTGTACATAATACCAAATTGGGCCGTAAAAGATTTGGATGTAAACTTTGTACTAAATCTTTTGATCAAACATATCGCACAAAGAGGAAAGAAAAAAAAGTGGTGAAGAAAAAGGAAACACAGAAACAATCCAAACAAATAAAAGAGAAGGAAAAGGAAAGACAGAAACATTAGAAACAAAAACAAGAGAACAAAAAGGAAAGACAGAAACAATAGAAACAAAAATAATAGCAAAAAGAAAAGACAGAAACAAAAGAAACAAAAACAAGAGAAGAAAAAGGAAAGACAGAAACAGTGAAAATAAAAACAAGAGAACAAAAGGGAGAGACAGAAACAGTGAAAATAAAAACAAGAGAACAAAAGGGAGAGACAAAAACAAAAATAAGTGAACAAAAAGGAAAGACAGAAACAATAGAAACAAAAATAAGAGAACAAAAAGGAAAGACAGAAACATTAGAAACAAAAACAAGAGAACAAAAAGGAAAGACAGAAACAATAGAAACAAAAATAAGTGAACAAAAAGGAAAGACAGAAACAATAGAAACAAAAATAAGAGAACAAAAAGGAAAGACAGAAACAGTGAAAACAAAAACAAGAGAACAAAAGGGAGAGACAGAAACAAAAATAAGAGAACAAAAAGGAAAGACAGAAACAAAAATAAGAGAACATAAAGGAAAGATAGAAACAGTAGAATCTAAAATAAGGAGAGAAAAATTGGCAATAAGTCATGTAAGTGACAAAAAGGAAGGAACAACCAAAATCACAGATGACATCAAAAATTTCTATCTGAAGATGACTTGAACAGTGAAACAAGCTCAGTTACTGGTATCATGACTCCGACATTTCCCGTGGAAAATACCGATGTAAACAAAAACTCTGAAAGAGATATTTATAGAAAAAGTAAAAGAATGGAGGAAAGGAAAAAGAGGGAAGAATCAGTAGTCGTGCCGATTGATCCATCCCAGATCGAGACAGAACATCCTGACATCTTCAACATTGACTCCTTGGTCCATACTATTAATAGGAACTCTGAGATTTGTCCAAGGAAGTTCAATAGGTCATACAGAAACATTGAAACAGAAATGATTATGACAGAAATTACTGGATCCCAGACTGGTTCCCCAGTTCAAAAAGAAACAGTTGTCAACATTAAAAAGGAGCCTAATAGTTCACCTATCAAAGGTTTGATGCAAATGGCAATGCAAAAAGGTTTAGAAGATAGTGACCAGTGGGGCAATTTCAGTGAATTTGATATTGATAGTGTTGTTAATGTTGTCAATAGAAGAGACGAGGGGAGACAACTGGCAGATTGTCATGTAGATATTGTGAAAGTAGAAGACCAGGGGAGGCAACTGGCTGATTGTCATGTAAATATTGAGAAAATAGAAGACCAAGGAAGGCAACTTGAAGATGGCATTGTAAATTTTGTGAATAGAGAAAACCATGGGAGAGAACTAGAAGATAGTAATATCACTATTGTGAAAGAAGAAATACAGGGGAGGCAACTAGAGAAAGAGGAATATTTACAGATGGATGATATTGAAGCTCTTGTTCATTATACAAATAGAAAATCGCATTCATTCAGTCCTTCGAAGAACAATACTTCTCAACAGCCATCATTGTCAGCTAAACCTTAAACAATTGTTGGCCTGCCATTGACAGATGACAACAAAGGAAGTAAATCTCCAAATAAAAAGGGAGATAACTCTTTATCATTATCACCACAAATGAAAAAGAACTATAAATTAAAAGACTGTTCTGTGGTTTTGGACACTGATAAAGACATTCAGTCTAAACTGCTGAATTTACAGAAAAATGCAGAGTCTGGAAAGGAAGACATGAACAGTAGTGTACATGATTTAAAGAGAAGTGGAGACATTTCTGATTTTAAAAATGTTGCAAAGAAACCCAAAATTGGTCCAAAATGCATGAAAAAACAAGACAAAGATGAAGTAAGAGATCACAAAAAGTCTTAATTTGTTATTGACCACAAAGCCAAAGTTTTGAAACTGAATTTATCAAGGTTGGATAAAAATCTGGAAGCAAATGAGACTGATAAAGAGATTGACAAAGAAGTGACAAAAAAGTTAGAAATTGAAAATGAAAGGAGAAAGGAAAAATCTGAAAGTAAAAGTAAACCGACAAAAATTTCAGTAGAGAATAAAGAAAAAGAAAGATCAGATAATGAGAGTCGACATATAACATCTTCTACAGATGGAAATAGAAAACAGGACAGAAAACATGAAAATGACAGTCGGGAATATTCAGACAAACATAAACATTCAGAAAAACCTAAACATCTGCATTCAGAAAACCATACGCATGGAATTTCAGAAAAACCTAAACATGGACAATCAGAGAAGCATAAACCTGGGAATTCAGAAAAGCATACACATGGATATTCAGAAAAATCTTAACATGGACAATCAGATAAGCATAAACATGGAAATTCAGAAAAGCATAAAGAAGTCAAAGGAGAAAATTCTGAAAAGTACAAGAATTTTCCTGATAAAAGTGGTTCCAAAAAAGGAGATGATGACAAGCAAATAAAATCATCAAAAAACCTAAAGAGGAAAGCAAATGAAGAGGAAAACATTGCCAGTAAAAAGTCAAAGCACGATGACAAAACTGAAAACTGTGACGAAAAGAAAGATTCCATAAAAAGACCTGAGACTAAAATGATATCTGTTGAGGTCAAGAAGAAAGAAAATAAAAAGGAAGAAAAACTGCATGAACCATCGAAGAAATTGGAGGAAAGCTTAAGTAATGCTCCTAATACTATAGAATAGACAATGAAATGTAAACTTTGTAAAGAAATCCATAGCTCTAAATCAGCATTAGAAAAGCACATGATCAGTGTACATAATACCAAATTGGGCCGTAAAAGATTTGGATGTAAACTTTGTACTAAATCTTTTGATACAACGTCTATTTTGATCAAACATATCGAATCGCACAAAGAGGAAAGAAAAAAAAGTGGTGAAGAAAAAGGAAACACAGAAACAGTCCAAACAAATAAAAGAGAAGGAAAAGGAAAGACAGAAACATTAGAAACAAAAACAAGAGAACAAAAAGGAAAGACAGAAACAATAGAAACAAAAATAAGAGAACAAAAAGGAAAGACAGAAACAAAAGAAACAAAAACAAGAGAAGAAAAAGGAATGACAGAAACAGTGAAAACAAAAACAAGAGAACAAAAGGGAGAGACAGAAACAAAAATAAGAGAACAAAAAGGAAAGACAGAAACAAAAATAAGAGAACATAAAGGAAAGATAGAAACAGTAGAATCTAAAATAAGGAGAGAAAAATTGGCAATAAGTCATGTAAGTGACAAAAAGGAAGGAACAACCAAAATCACAGATGACATCAAAAATTTCTATCTGAAGATGACTTGAACAGTGAAACAAGCTCAGTTACTGGTATCATGACTCCGACATTTCCCGTGGAAAATACCGATGTAAACAAAAACTCTGAAAGAGATATTTATAGAAAAAGTAAAAGAATGGAGGAAAGGAAAAAGAGGGAAGAATCAGTAGTCGTGCCGATTGATCCATCCCAGATCAAGACAGAACATCCTGACATCTTCAACATTGACTCCTTGGTCATTACTATTAATAGGAACTATGAGATTTGTCCAAGGAAGTTCAATAGGTCGTACAGAGACATTGAAACAGAAATGATTATGACAGAAATTACTGGATCCCAGACTGGTTCCCCAGTTCAAAAAGAAACAGTTGTCAACATTAAAAAGGAGCCTAATAGTTCACCTATCAAAGGTTTGATGCAAATGGCAATGCAAAAAGGTTTAGAAGATAGTGACCAGTGGGGCAATTTCAGTGAATTTGATATTGATAGTGTTGTTAATGTTGTCAATAGAAGAGACGAGGGGAGACAACTGGCAGATTGTCATGTAGATATTGTGAAAGTAGAAGACCAGGGGAGGCAACTGGCTGATTGTCATGTAAATATTGTGAAAATAGAAGACCAAGGAAGGCAACTTGAAGATGGCATTGTAAATTTTGTGAATAGAGAAAACCATGGGAGAGAACTAGAAGATAGTAATATCACTATTGTGAAAGAAGAAATACAGGGGAGGCAACTAGAGGAAGAGGCATATTTACAGATGGATGATATTGAAGCTCTTGTTCATTATACAAATAGAAAATCGCATTCATTCAGTCCTTCGAAGAACAATGCTTCTCAACAGCCATCATTGTCAGCTAAACCTAAAACAATTGTTGGCCTGCGATTGACAGATGACAACAAAGGAAGTAAATCTCCAAATAAAAAGGGAGATAACTCTTTATCAATATCACCAAAAATGAAAAAGAACTATAAATTAAAAGACTGTTCTGTGGTTTTGGACACTGATAAAGACATTCAGTCTAAACTGCTGAATTTACAGAAAAATGCAGAGTCTGGAAAGGAAGACATGAACAGTAGTGTACTTGATTTAAAGAGAAGTGGAGACATTTCTGATTTTAAAAATGTTGCAAAGAAACCCAAAATTGGTCCAAAATGCATGAAAAGACAAGACAAAGATGAAGTAAAAGATCACAAAAAGTCTAAATTTGTTATTGACCACAAAGCCAAAGTTTTGAAACTGAATTTATCAAGGTTGGATAAAAATCTGGAAGCAAATGAGACTGATAAAGAGATTGACAAAGAAGTGACAAAAAAGTTAGAAATTGAAAATGAAAGGAGAAAGGAGAAATCTCGTCCTAAACATAAAGGAAAAATCTGAAAGTGAAAGTAAACCGACAAAAATTTCAGTAGAGAATAAAGAAAAAGAAAGATCAGATAATGAGAGTCGACATATAACATCTTCTACAGATGGAAATAGAAAACAGTACAGAAAACATGAAAATGACTGTCGGGAATATTCAGACAAACATAAACATTCAGAAAAACCTAAACATCCGCATTCAGAAAAGCATACACATGGAATTTCAGAAAAACCTAAACATGGACAATCAGAGAAGCATAAACCTGGGAATTCAGAAAAGCATAAACATGGATATTTAGAAAAATCTGAACATGGATATTCATAAAAATCTAAACATGGACTATCAGATAAGCATAAAGAAGTCAAAGGAGAAAATTCTGAAAAGTACAAGAATTTTCCTGATAAAAGTGGTTCCAAAAAAGGAGATGATGACAAGCAAATAAAATCATCAAAAAATCTAAAGAGGAAAACATTGCCAGTAAAAAGTCAAAGCACGATGACAAAACTGAAAACTGTGACGAAAAGAAAGATCCCATAAAAAGACCTGAGACTGAAATGATATCTGTTGTGGTAAAGAAGAAAGAAAATAGAAAGGAAAAAAACTGCATGAACCATCCAAGAATTTGGAGGTAGGTGTTGTTTCATTTTCTATTCTTAGATTTATTTTTAAATTTTTAGCTTTTATCTTACAGGGGGAAAAGTAGAACTGCAATACACAAGGCAATCTTACCTTCACTTCAGTTTTTCAAATAACCATATTTGTCCCGTTAGAATCAAAATAATTCATGCAAGCTATAGATTTGTTATCATTTTCACATGGCCTGTGGCTAACGTTCGAGATAAAATCCAAACATAACGGCCAGGCCGTGTGAAAATTTTCAACAAATCTATGGCTTGCATGAATTATTTCTTAATTATATTATATGTCCAACCACGTAAACTTGTTTATGTTTTTGTCAACAAATGATGGTTGATCTAATCTTGACCTTTTAGTTGATGCCATTTAAAATGACAGGGATTATGACATCTGACCTACCCTGTGTATAAATATATATATAAATATGACCTTTTTATGATCATAATTTACATAAATGTATTTACAGATTTTTAGCAGTTGTTTGGTAACTAATACATCACCAGATTCAGATGACAGACTGGAAGATTTAGGTGTGCAGCAATTGCCTGAAAATACACCAAGATATATCACACACTGTGAGTAGCTTTATTATGTGAAAGGGGACTGTTAAAAGGGGGCTTGAAAATATAGGGAGGTTTAATGTAGTTAAATGTCAAAATAGCATATTTTTATGCCCCCACAGTAGGGGAGGGGGCATTAAGTTTTACCCTTGTCCGTCTGTACGTACGTCCGTTCGTACGTCCCAAAGTTGGTTTCCGTTCTCTAACTTTAGTTTGCCTTAACCAAATGTTATGAAACTTATACACAGTGCTTATTACCACTAAATACAGATCAAGTAAGAATTTTGGTGGCGTCACTTTTACCAATCTAGAGTTATGCCCCTTTACAAATGGAAAAATTGCTAAATTTTTCGTTTCCGTTCTCTAACTTAAGTTTGCCTGAACCAAATGTTATGAATCTTATACACAATGCTTATTACCACAATATACAGATCAAGTTTGAATTTTGGTGACGTCACTTTTACTGTTCTAGAGTTATGCCCTTAACAAATGGAAACATTTCTGATTTTTTTTTTTTTTTTTCTAAATATCAAGTTTTTTTGTCTCGCCTTGACGGAGTCAAAAAGTGAGACATAGGTATGCTGTTTGCAGTGTCGGCGACGGCGTCAACAATGTATTAGTTTGTGATTAGGTCTAGATTATGGTGAACCACTAGTGGTAGGTCAATGATATTTGGTATGCAGTTGCATTAGCATTGGCACATCTCATTACCATGGAAATTATTTGGCCCCGCCCCCTCAGTCAAGGTCTATTGACTTTGAAACTTTTCATAGTTTACATGTATTAGTTTGTGATTAGGTCAATTTATGGGGAACCACTAGTGGTAGGTCAATGATATTTGGTATGCAGTTGTATAAACATTGACATATCTCATTTCCATGGAGATTATTTGGCTCTGCCCCCTTAGTCATGGTCTATAGACTCTGAAAATTTTGCTAAGTTAACATGTATTAGTTTGTGATTAGGTCAGTTCAAGGGGAACCATTAGTGGTAGGCCAATGTTAATTGGTGTTCAGTTGTATAAGCATTAGCACATCTCATTTCCATGGAGAATATTTAGCCCCACCCCCTCAGTCATGGTCTATTGACTTTGAAACTTTTGCTTAGTTTACATGTATTAGTTTGTAATTAGATCAGTTTAAGATGAACTGCTAATGTTAAGTCAACGATATTTGGTATGCAAATGTATTGGCATTTGCAAGTATCGTTTCCATGGAGATTATATAGCCCCACTCCTGATCATGGTTCATTGACTTTGAAACTTTTACATAGTTTACAAGTTAATGTTTGTGTTTAGGTTTGTTTAAAGGGAACACTTATAATAAGTCAATGATATTTGGTATGCAGTTGTATTAGCATTGGCACATCTTATTTTATGGAGATTGTTTAGCCATGTACCTTCAGTCATGGTTCATTGACTTTGAATATTTGCATAACTTACATGTTAAAGTATTGCTATTTTAATTTCAACATTTGCATTATCAAAATTACAAAAAGGCTAGACATATCTCTGTGATAACAGTTTATTAAAATTGGAGTTATCTTTCTTTGTCCATGATTATAGTTGAATCAACTACAATCAATGCTTTATACAATGCAATGTTTAATTTTACCTTCCACTGATAAATTAAAGCAATTTTTACCCTTCAATTCTAAAAATATTTTAAAGTCTTCTTTGAAAATGGGAGTTATCTTTCTTTGTGCATAATGGTAGTTGAATCAACTACAACCAATGCTTTATACAATGCAATATTCAATATTACTTCCTACTGATAAATTAAAGCAATCTTTACCATTCAGTGCTTACAAGCACTTTGATTACTGTTCTAGAATTATGCCCATTTACAAATGAAAAAACTGCTGAATTTTTCGTTAACGTTCTCTAACTTGAGTTTGTCTTAAATTAATGTAATGAAATGTATATATAATGCTTTTTACCACAAAACTCAGTTTAATTTTTTGTTTCCATTTTCTAACTTTAGTTTGCCTCAACCAAATGTTGTGAAACTTATACACAATGCTTATTACTACATAATACAGATTAAGTACGAAATTTGGTGGCGACACTTTTACCATTCTTGAGTTTAATATATCCCTTTATAAACATAAAAATTGCTGAATTTTTTGTTTCCGTTCTCTAACTTTAGTTTGTCTCAACCAAATGTTATAAAACTTATACACAACTGTTCTAGAGTTATGCGTATTTACAAATAGAAAAATTGCGGAATTTTTAGTTTCTGTTCTCTACTTAAGTTAGCCTCAACCAAATGTTATGAGACTTACACACAATGTTTATTACCACAAAACTCAAATCAATTTCAAATTTGGGTAGCGTCACTTTTACCGTTCTTCAGTTATGTCCCTTTATAACTATATGATATGCAAGCGGGGGCATCATCTGTGTCCACATGTGGACACAATCCACATTTTCTACATATTTTTATCATTTGATTTTATGTTTGCTGTTACACCACTGTCCAAGACTAGATGGGAGAGAAGGCTACATCCAATGTGTTTTTCTCATTGCTCATTGTTGAAGGCTGTACAGTGACCTATATTTTTTAACTTCTACCTTATTTGGTCTCTGGTGGAGAGTTGTTTCATTGACAATCTGTGAATCATACCACATCTTCTTATTTTTATGTTAACCCTGTTACATTCTGTATGTGCCTGTTCCAAGTTAGGACCTGTAATTCAGTGTGTTTGTTGTTTCAAATACAGTATCATATTTTTATTGTTTTGTACATAAATCAGGCCAGTTTCTTTACTTGTTTGAATTGTTAGACATTTGTTATTTTTGTGCCTTTTAAAGCTTGCTATGCAGTATGGGTTTTGCTCACTGTTGAAGGTCGTACGATAACATGAACTTAATAACTTATATATCATATGGTCTCTGATGGAGAGATGTCTCATTGGTTATTATACCACAGGGGAGGATCCAGCCATTTTTAAAAGGGGGGGTTCCCAACCCAGGATAAAAGGGAGGTTCCAACTATATGTCCCCATTCAAATGCATTGATCGTCCAAAAAAAAGGGGGGGTTCCAACCCCCGGAACCCCCCCTATGTACCACTGTACCACATCATATATTTATACAAATGATACAAATCTACATAGCCCCTTTGATTCATGTATCACAGCTTTAAATACGGGGTAGTTGCATTGAAAAAAATTGTGTTCATCTGATTCATTTTAAAAAAAAATTAAAATTGGCCAGTCATATGGGTATAGTTTTCTCGTTTGAATTGTTTTACAATTGTGATTTTGGGGCCTTTTATAGCTGACTATGCAGTATGGACTTTGCTCATTTTTGAAGGTCATACAGTGACCTACACCTGTTTATTTCTGTGTCATTTTGGTCTCTTGTGGAGAGTTGTCTCATTGCCAATCATACCACATCTTCTTTTTTATATTTAGTTTAAATTTTCCACTTAATGTCCAAATAAAGGTAATTGTTTGATTGAGAGGTGACGATCATTTTTTGATAAAAATCATCCTCTACCAAAATTTTGTATGAGTGATTTTACCATTTTGTTTGTTGGTGTTTAATGCCACTGTTTGGTTTCAACATGGTTTTTGTTGGTGCAGATAGCTTGAGAACCCTGGTACCCAGAAAGAAAATGCAGACTTGGCAGGAGAGTTAGCAAACCTTGTCAATTAAAATCGTGGTACCGTAGACAGTGGGCAGGATAATTGGCAATTCTTGTCAATTAACATCAAGTCCAATTAATCTTGCCATTGTTAAACTCACAACCTCAAAGAGTCAATAGCAATCACTGTAGGTAAATTACTTTTAAACTCTGTCACCGTGACCTAAAATTGATCTGTTGGATGAGATTAGCAGTTTACTGTTTTTTCACAATTTTTGTTTGGCAATGTGCAGAATAAAAAATAAAGATTTTTAAAATGGCGTACTATATAAACAAATGTAAGTTGATATATCATTAATTGATATACGAACAATATTAAATATATTTTTTTTTTTTTTTTTTTCAGGTGATGATACAGAATTTCTACCTGAGGATGACTTAAACAGTGAAACAAGCTCAGTTACTGGTATCATGACTCCGACATTTCCCGTGGAAAATACTGATGTAAACAAAAACTCTGAAAGAGATATTTATAGAAAAAGTAAAAGAATGGAGGAAAGGAAAAAGGAAGAAGAATCAGTAACCATGCCGATTGATCCATCCCAGATCAAGACGGAACATCCTGACATCTTCGACATTGACTCCTTGGTCCAAACTATTAATAGGAACTCTGAGATTTGTCCAAGGAAGTTCAATAGGTCGTACAGAGACATTGAAACAGAAATGATTATGACAGAAATTACTGGATCCCAGACTGGTTCCCCAGTTCAAAAAGAAACAGTTGTCAACATTAAAAAGGAGCCTAATAGTTCACCTATCAAAAGTTTGATGCAAATGGCAATGCAAAAAGGTTTGGAAGATAGTGACCAGTGGGGCAATTACAGTGAATTTGATATTGATAGTGTTGTTAATGTTGTCAATAGTAGAGACGAGTGGAGACAACTGGCAGATTGTCATGTAAATATTGTGAAAATTGAAGACCAGGGGAGGCAACTGGCTGATTGTCATGTAAATATTGTGAAAATAGAAGACCAAGGAAGGCAACTTGAAGATGGCATTGTAAATTTTGTGAATAGAGAAAACCATGGGAGAGAACTAGAAGATAGTAATATCACTATTGTGAAAGAAGAAATACAGAGGAGGCAACTAGAGGAAGAGGCATATTTACAGATGGACGATATTGAAGCTCTTGTTCATTATACAAATAGAAAATCGCATTCAGTCAGTCCTTCGAAGAACAATGCTTCTCAACAGCCATCATTGTCAGCTAAACCTAAAACAATTGTTGGCCTGCGATTGACAGATGACAACAAAGGAAGTAAATGTCCAAATAAAAAGGGAGATTACTCTTTATCAATATCACCAAAAATGAAAAAGAACTATAAATTAAAAGACTGTTCTGTGGTTTTGGACACCGATAAAGACATTCAGTCTAAACTGCTGAATTTACATAAAAATGCAGAGTCTGGAAAGGAAGACATGAACAGTAGTGTACATGATTAAAAGAGAAGTGGAGACATTTCTGATTTTAAAAATGTTGCAAAGAAACCCAAAATTGGTCCAAAATGCATGAAAAGACAAGACAAAGATGAAGTAAAAGATCACAAAAAGTCTAAATTTGTTATTGACCACAAAGCCAAAGTTTTGAAACTGAATTTATCAAGGTTGGATAAAAATCTTGAAGCAAATGAGACTGATAAAGAGATTGACAAAGAAGTGACAAAAAAGTTAGAAATTGAAAATGAAAGGAGAAATGAGAAATCTCGTCCTAAACCATAGTAAAAATCTGAAAGTGAAAGTAAACAGATAAAAATTTCAGTAGAGAATAAAGAAAAAGAAAGATCAGATAATGAGAGTTGACATATAAATTCTTCTACAGATGGAAATAGAAAACAGGACAGAAAACATGAAAATGACAGTCGGGAATATTCATACAAACATAAGCATTCAGAAAAACCTGAACATCCGCATTCAGAAAAGCATACGTATGGAATTTCAGAAAAACCTAAACATGGACAATCAGAGAAGCATAAACCTGGAAATTCAGAAAAGTATAAACATGAATTATCAGAAAAATCTAAACATGGACATCAGATAAGCATAATTATGGGAATTCAGAAAAGCAGAAAGAAGTCAAAGGAGAAAATTCTGAAGAGTACAAGAATTTTCCTGATAAAAGTTGTTCCAAAAAAGGAGATGATGACAAGCAAATAAAATCATCAAAAAATTTAAAATGGAAAGCAAATGAAGAGGAAAACATTGCCAGTAAAAAGTCAAAGCACGATGACAAAACTGAAAACTGTGACGAAAAGAAAGATTCCATAAAAAGACCTGAGACTAAAATGATATCTCTGTTGAGGTAAAGAAGAAAGAAAATAAAAAGGAAGAAAAACTGCATGAACCATCGAAGAAATTGGTGGAAAGCTTATGTAATGCTTCTAATACTATAGAATTGACAATGAAATGTTAACTTTGTAAAGAAATCCATAGCTCTAAATCAGCATTAGAAAAGCACATGATCAGTGTACATAATACCAAATTGGGCCGTAAAAGATTTGGATGTAAACTTTGTACTCATTCTTTTGATACAACGTCTATTTTGATCAAACATATCGAATTGCACAAAGAGGAAAGAAAAAAAAAGTGGTGAAGTAAAAGGAAACACAGAAACCGTCCAAACAAATAAAAGAGAAGGAAAAGGAGAGACAGAAACAGTAGAAACATAAACAAGAGAACAAAAAGGAAAGACAGAAACAATAGAAACAAAAATAAGAGAACAAAAAGGAAAGACAGAAATAAAAGAAACAAAAACAAGAGAAGAAAAAGGAAAGACAGAAACAGTGAAAATAAAAACAAGAGAACAAAAGGGAGAGACAGAAACAAAAATAAGAGAACAAAAAGGAAAGACAGAAACAAAAATAAGAGAACAAAAAGGAAAGATAGAAACAGTAGAATCTAAAATAAGGAGAGAAAAATTGGCAATAAGTCATGTAAGTGACAAAAAGGATGGAACAACCAAAATCACAGATGACATAAAAAATATCTATCTGAAGATGACTTGAACAGTGAAACAAGCTCAGTTACTGGTATCATGACTCCGACATTTCCCGTTGAAAATACCGATGTAAAAAAAACTCTAAAAGAGATATTTATAGAAAAAGTAAAAGAATGGAGGAAAGGAAAAAGAGTGAAGAATCAGTAGTTGTGCCGATTGATCCATCCCAGATCAAGACAGAACATCCTGACATCTTCAACATTGACTCCTTGGTCCATACTATTAATAGGAACTCTGAGATTTGTCCAAGAAAGTTCAATAGGTCATACTGAGACATTGAAACAGAAATGATTATGACAGAAATTACTGGATCCCAGACTGGTTCCCCAGTTCAAAAAGAAACAGTTGTCAACATTAAAAAGGAGCCTAATAGTTCACCTATCAAAGGTTTGATGCAAATGGCTATGCAAAAAGGTGAAGATAGTGACCAGTGGGGCAATTTCAGTGAATTTGATATTGATAGTGTTGTTAATGTTGTCAGGAGAAGAGACGAGTGGAGACAACTGGCAGATTGTCATGTAAATATTGTGAAAGTAGAAGACCAGGGGAGGCAACTGGCTGATTGTCATGTAAATATTGTGAAAATAGAAGACCAAGGAAGGCATTTTGAAGATGGCATTGTAAATTTTGTGAATAGAGAAAACCATGGGAGAGAACTAGAAGATAGTAATATCACTATTGTGAAAGAAGAAATACAGGGGAGGCAACTAGAGGAAGAGGAATATTTACAGATGGATGATATTGAAGCTCTTGTTCATTATACAAATAGAAAATCGCATTCATTCAGTCCTTCGAAGAACAATGCTTCTCAACAGCCATCATTGTCAGCTAAACCTAAAACAATTGTTGGCCTGCGATTGACAGATGACAACAAAGGAAGTAAATCTCCAAATAAAAAGGGAGATAACTCTTTATCATTATCACCACAAATGAAAAAGAACTATAAATTAAAAGATTGTTCTGTGGTTTTAGACACTGATAAAGACATTCAGTCTAAACTGCTGAATTTACAGAAAAATGCAGAGTCTGGAAAGGAAGACATGAACAGTAGTGTACATGATTTAAAGAGAAGTGGAGACATTTCTGATTTAAAAAATGTTGCAAAGAAACCCAAAATTGGTCCAAAATGCATGAAAAGACAAGACTAAGATGAAGTAAAAGATCACAAAAAGTCTAAATTTGTTATTGACCACAAAGCCAAAGTTTAAAAACTGAATTATCAAGGTTGGATAAAAATCTTGAAGCAAATGAGACTGATAAAGAGATTGACAAAGAAGTGACAAAAAAGTTAGAAATTGAAAATGAAAGGAGAAATGAGAAATCTCGTCCTAAACAATAGGAAAAATCTGAAAGTGAAAGTAAACAGACAAAAATTTCAGAAGGGAATAAAGAAAAAGAAAGATCAGATAATGAGAGTTGACATATAAAATCTTCTACAGATGGAAATAGGAAACAGGACAGAAAACATGAAAATGACAGTCGGGAATATTCAGACAAACATAAACTTCCGCATTCAGAAAAGCATAAGCATGGAAATTCAGAAAAACCTAAACATGGACAATCAGAAAAGGATAAACATGAAAATTCAGAAAAGCATAAACATGGAAATTCAGAAAAGCATAAACATGAATATTCAGAAAAATCTAAACATGGACAATCAGATAAGCATAATTATGGAAATTCAGAAAAGCAGAAAAAAGTCAAAGGAGAAAATTCTGAAAAGTACAAGAATTTTCCTGATAAAAGTTGTTCCAAAAAAGGAGATGATGACAAGCATATAAAATCATCAAAAAATCTAAAGAGGAAAGCAAATGAAGAGGAAAATATTATCAGTAAAAAAGTCAAAGCACGACGACAAAACTGAAAACTGTGACGAAAAGAAAGATTCCATAAAAAGACCTGAAACTAAAATGATATCTGTAAAGAAAAAAGAAAATAGAAAGGAAGAAAAACTGCATGAACCATCGAAGAAATTGGAGGAAAGCTTAAGTAATGCTTCTAATACTATAGAATTGACAATGAAATGTAAACTTTGTAAAGAAATCCATAGCTCTAAATCAGCATTAGAAAAGCACATGATCAGTGTACATAATACGCAATTGAGCCGTAAAAGATTTGGATGTAAACTTTGTACTCAATCTTTTGATACAACGTCTATTTTGATCAAACACATCGAATCGCACAAAGAGGAAAGAAAAAAAAGTGGTGAAGAAAAAGGAAAGACAGAAACAGTAGAAACAAAAACAAGAGAACAAAAAGGAAAGACAGAAACAAAAGAAACAAAAACAAGAGAAGAAAAAGGAAAGACAGAAACTGAAAATAAAAACAAGAGAACAAAAGGGAGAGACTGAAACAAAAACAAGAGAACAAAAAGGAAAGACAGAAACAAAAATAATAGAACAAAAAGGAAAGACTGTGAGTAACTTTATTATGTGAAAGGGGACTGTTAAAAGGGGGCTTGAAAATGTAGGGAGGTTTAATGTAGTTAAATGTCAAAATAGCATATTTTTATGCCCCCACAGTAGAGGAGGGGGCATTATAAAGTTTTACCCTTGTCCGTCCGTACGTCCCAAAGTTGGTTTCCGTTCTCTAACTTTAGTTTGCCTTAACCAAATGTTATGAATCTTTTACACAATGCTTATTACCACAATATACAGATCAAGTTTGAATTTTGGTGACGTCACTTTTACTGTTCTAGAGTTATGCCTTTTACAAATGGAAAAATTTCTGAATTTTTCATTTTAAAAAAATATCAAGTATTTTTAAAATTGGAGTTATCTTTCTTTGTCCATGATTATAGTTGAATCAACTACAATCAATGCTTTATACAATGCAATGTTTAATTTTACCTTCCACTGATAAATTAAAGCAATTTTTACCCTTCATTTCTAAAAATATTTAAAGTCTTCTTTGAAAATTGGAGTTATCTTTCTTTGTGCATAATGGTAGTTGAATCAACTACAACTGATAAATTAAAGCAATCTTTACCATTAAGTGCTTACAAGCACTTTGACTACTGTTCTAGAATTATGCCCATTTACAAATGAAAAAATTGCTGAATTTTTCGTTTCCCTTCTCTAACTTGAGTTTGTCTTAAATTAATGTAATGAAATGTATATATAATGCTTTTTATCACAAAACTCAGTTTAACTTTAGTTTTGTCTCAACCAAACGTTATAAAACTTATACACAACTGTTCTAGAGTTATGCGTATTTACAAATAGAAAAATTGCTGAATTTTTAGTTTCTGTTCTCTACTTAAGTTAGCCTCAACCAAATGTTATGAGACTTACACACAATGCTTATTACCACAAAACTCAGATCAAATTTGGGTAGCGTCACTTTTACCGTTCTTCAGTTATGTCCCTTTATAACTATATGATATGCAAGCGGGGGCATCATCTGTGTCCACATGTGGACACAATCCACATTTTCTACATATTTTTATACGACTGCAAACATTTTTTGCGGTCGTATATGGGTATGACGTCGTCGTCTGAAGACACATTGGTTTTCACACTATAACTTTAGTTTAAGTGAAAGGATCTCTGATATTCTACCATAAGGTTAAATACCACAAAAGAAAGGTTGGGATTGATTTTGGAGGTTATGGTACCAACAGTCAAGAAATTAGGGGCCAAAAATAAGCATTTTCTAGTTTCAAGTCAATAACTTGTGGAAAGGTGTATGGATCTCTCTGAAATTATACCACAAGTTTCCATACCACAAAGGGATGGTTAGGATTTGCTTTGGGGGGGGTTATGGCTCAAACCGTTTAGGAATTAGGGGCAAAAAAGGGGGAAAAACAAGGTTCTCCTGGTTAATGGACAAATACTTTAGTACAAAACATAATTTAAAGCAGTGTAAGGGAGATAAATCAAATACATCATTTGAATAATCTCCCTTACACTGCTTTTAAATTATGTATAAAGTAATGGTTAATGAACAATTAAGACAATTTAAAACAGTGTAAGGGAGGTAATCCAAATACAACGTTTTGATTACTTCCCTTACACTGCTATTAAATTATGTTTAAAGAAATGCATATTTATAAAGGAAGACCAGTAAAAATATCTGCAAATGTTGCATCTTTTTTGTTTTACAAAAAAATTCATATGAAAGATTTGACACCATATTTTAAATTCTATTATAAAATATATTAAGTTAGCACTATGGTAAATTTAAATGGGTAATTATGGTTGCAAATTCAATTGGAAATTTGAATTGAGATTATGACCATATCTTGAGGGAAAGAATTTTTTTGGGTGAAAAGGGGAGGGGAGGGGGGTAAAAAGAAATTGTGGGGTGTCAACTTTTTCTCATTTCAGATTTCAGAAATTAAAAAGAATTATTCTTCAAATATTTTTATACGACCGCAAAAATATTTTTGTGGTCGTATATTGGTATGACGTCGTCGTCGTCGTCCGAAGACACATTGTTTTTCGCACTCTAACTTTAGTTTAAGTGAATGGATCTCTATGAAATTTTACCACATGGGTCAATACCACAAAAGGAAGGTTGGGATTGATTTTGGGGGTTATGGTACCAACAGTTAAGGAATAAGGGGCCAAAAAAGGGCCAAAAATAAGCATTTTTGTAACTTCCAGACATAACTTGTGTGTTAGTGTATGGATCTCTCCGACATTGTACCACAAGGTTTCATATCACAAAGGGAATGCTGAGATTGATTTTGGGGGTAATTGCCTCAAAATTTTAGGAATTAGGGGCCAAAAAAGGGGCAAAAAACAAGCATTTTTCTAGTTTCATGACAATAACTTGTGTGTAAGTGTATGGATCTTTCTGAAATTGTACTACAAGGTTCCATATCACAAAGGGAAAGCTGGAATTGAGTTTGGGGGTAATTGCCGAAACGTTTAGGAATTGGGGGCCAAAAAGGGGCCAAAAAACACATTTTTCTAGTTTCCAGACAATAACTTGTGTTCAAGTGTATGGATCTCTCTGAAATTGTACTGCAAGGTACCATACCACAAAGGAAAGGCTGGGATTGAGTTTTGTGGTGATGAATCATAAGGAGTTCAAAAAATTTGGGGAGGGGATTGTTTTTTTTTCCTTTTTTTTCTTTTTTTCCTTTTTTTTTTTCTTTTAAAATTTTCCATTTTAAGTTGGTTATTTCTGATTTATATTTAAAAGCAAATAATAATGATATGGTAGGAGATACACACCAAACAGGATGTGTAAATTATTATATAATAAGTATTGTGCAATAGCAAGAAATTTTCAATTGCACAGTATTGCACAATAGCAAGAAATCTTCAATTGCACAGTATTGCGCAATAGCAAGAAATCTGCAATTGCACAGTATTGCGCAATAGCAAGAAATCTTCAATTGCACAGTATTGCGCAATAACAAGAAATTGTCAATTGTACAGTATTGCGCAATAGCAAGAAATATTTAATTGCACAGTATTGTGCAAAAGAAGATACTTCGTATAAATTGCTTATTTCTTGACCAATTTCAATGGGGTTTTATTCTTGAATTCTTGGGGTTCTTTAATATGCTGAATCTAACCGTGTATTTAGTTTTTGGATTTTGGGCCCCGTTTTTAAATTGGTCCACATTGAGGTCCAAAGGGTCCAAAATTAAACTTTTTGTTCGATTTCATCAAAAATTAAATTATTGGGGTTCTTTGATATGCCGAATCTAACCGTGTATTTAGATTCTTAATTTTTGGTTCCGTTTTCAAATTGGTCTACATTAAGGTCCAAAGGGTCCAAAATTAAACTTAGTTTGATTTTAACAAAAATTGAATTCTTAGGGTTCTTTGATATGCTGAATCTAAACATGTATTTAGATTTTTGATTATGGACCCAGTTTTCAAGTTGGTCCAAATCGGGGTCCAAAATTAAACTTTGTTTGATTTCAACAAAAATTGAATATATGGGGTTCTTTGATATGCTGAATCTAACCATGTATTTAGATTTTTGATTTTTGGGCCCCGTTATCAACTTTGTCCACATTGAGGTCAAAAGGGTCCAAAATTAAACTTTGTTTGATTTCATCAAAAATTGAATTCTTGTGGTTCTTTGATATGCTGAATCTAACCATGTATTTAGATTTTGGATATTGGACCATAATAGGTGAATGTCCAATTTAAAATTTTTAAGTTCTTAGACCACATTCATTCTGTGTCAGAAACCTATGCTGTGTCAAATATTTAATCACAATCCAAATGCAAAGCTGTATCAAGCTTGAATGTTGTGTCCATACTTGCCCGAACTGTTCAGGGTTCGACCTCTGCGGTCGTATCAAGCTGCGCCCTGTGGAGCATTTTACTGTAACTTCCAGACATAACTTGTGTGTTAGTGTATGGATCTCTCTGACATTGTACCACAAGGTTCCATATCACAAAAGGAAAGCTGGGTTTGAGTTTGGAGGTAATTGCCTTATACGTTTAGGAATTTGGGGCCAAAAAGGGGCCAAAAAACAAGCATTTTTCTAGTTTCCATACAATAACTTGTGTTCAAGTGTATGGATCTCTCTGAAATTGTACTGCAAGGTACCATACCACACAGGGAAGGCTGGGATTGAGTTTGGGGGTGATGAATCATAAGGGGGTTCAAAAAATTTGGGGGGGGATTTTTTTTTTCCCTTTTTTTTCTTTAAAATTTTCCATTTTAAATTGGTTATTTCTGATTTATATATAAAAGCAAATAATAATGATATGGTTTGAATAGGTAAATTAAAAATTTCTAAGATCTTTGACCACATTCATTCTGTGTCAGAAACCTATGCTGTGTCAAATATTTAATCACAATCCAAATTCAGTGCTGTATCAAGCTTGAATGTTGTGTCCATACTTGCCCCACCTGTTCAGGGTTCATCCTCTGCGGTCGTATCAAGCTGAGCCCAGCGGAGCATTTTATTTTTTTTCAAATTTCAAATATTGAAAAATTTCAAGAAGTAATCTTTAATTGCACAGTATGGCGCATTAGATTTGTAAAATATTTGACCACATTTATTTATTTGTTATGCCGAATCAGACCGTGTATTTAGACTTTTAATTTTGGGTCCAGTTTTCAAATTGGTTTACATTAAGGTCCAAATGGTCCAAAATTAAACTTAGTTTGATTTTAACAAAAATTGAATATATGGGGTTCTTAGATATGCTGAATCTAAACATGTATTTAGACTTTAAATTTTGGGTCCAGTTTTCAAATTGGTTTACATTAAGGTCCAAAGGGTCCAAAATTAAACTTAGTTTGATTTTAACAAAAATTGAATATATGGGGTTCTTAGATATGCTGAATCTAAACATGTATTTAGACTTTAAATTTTGGGTCCAGTTTTCAAATTGGTTTACATTAAGGTCCAAATGGTCCAAAATTAAACTTAGTTTGATTTTAACAAAAATTGAATATATGGGGTTCTTTGATATGCTGAATCTAACCATGTATTTTGATTTTTGGGCCCCGTTATCAAATTGGTCCACATTGAGGTCAAAAGGGTCCAAAATTAAACTTTATTTGATTTCATCAAAAATTGTATTCTTTGGATTCTTTGATATGCTGAATCTAACCATGTATTTAAATTTTGGATATTGGACCATAATAGGTAAATTAAAAAATTTTAAGTTCTTAGACCACATTCATTCTGTGTCAGAAACCTATGCTGTGTCAAATATTTAATCACAATCCAAATTCAGAGCTGTATCAAGCTTGAATGTTGTGTCCACTTGCCCCAACTTTTCAGGGTTCGACCTCTGCGGTCGTATCAAGCTGGGCCCAGTGGAGCATTTTATTATCATTTGATTTTATGTTTGCTGTTACACCACTGTCCAAGACTAGATGGGAGTGAAGGCTACATGCAAACTTGTTTTGCTCATTGCTCATTGTTGAAGGCTGTACAGTGACCTATAGTTTTTAACTTCTACCTTATTTGGTCTCTGGTGGAGAGTTGTTTCATTGACAATCTGTGAATCATACCACATCTTCTTATTTTTATGTTAACCCTGTTACATTCTGTATGTGCCTGTTCCAAGTTAAGACCTGTAATTCAGTGTGCTTGTTGTTTCATATACAGTATCATATTTTTATTGTTTTGTACATAAATCAGGCCAGTTTCTTTACTTGTTTGAATTGTTAGACATTTGTTATTTTTGTGCCTTTTAAAGCTTGCTATGCAGTATGGGTTTTGCTCACTGTTGAAGGTCGTACAGTGACATGAACTTAATAACCTATATATCATATGGTCTCTGGTAGAGAGTTGTCTCATTGGTTATTATACCAGAGGGGCGGATCCAGCCATTTTTAAAAGGGAGGGGGGGGGGGGGGGGGGGGGGGGGGGTTCCCAACCCAGGATAAAGGGGGGGTTCCAACTATATGTCCCCATTCAAATGCATTGATTGTCCAAATAAAGGGGGGGTTCTGAACCCCCCCTCTGGATCTGCCACTGTACCACATCATATATTTATACAAATCTACATAGCTCCTTTGATTCATGTATCACAGCTTTAAATACGAGGTAGTTGCATTGAAAAAAATTGTGTTCATCTAAATCATTTTAAAAAAAAATTAAAATGGGCCAGTCATATATGGGTATAGTTTTCTCGTTTGAATTGTTTTACAATTGTTATTTTGGGACCTTTTATAGCTGACTATGCAGTATGGACTTTGCTCATTTTTGAAGGTCATACGGTGATCTATACCTGTTTATTTCTGTGTCATTTTGGTCTCTTGTGGAGAGTTGTCTCATTGGCAATCATACCACATCTTCTTTTTTATATTTAGTTTCAATTTTCCACTTAATGTCCAAATTAGGGTAATTGTTTGATTGAGAGGTGACGATCATTTTTTGATAAAAATCATCATCTTCCAAAATTTTGTATGAGTGATTTTACAATTTTGTTTGTTGGTGTTTAATGCCACTGTTTGGTTTCAACATGGTTTTTGTTGGTGCTGATAGCTTGAGAACCCTGGTACCCAGAAAGAACATGCAGACTGGGCAGGAGAGTTGAAAAACCTTGTCAATTAAAATCATGGTACCGTAGACAGTGGGCGGGATAATTGGCAATTCTTGTCAATTAACATCAAAGTCCAATTAACCTTGACATTGTTAAACTCACAACCTCAGAGCTAAGAGAATAGCAATCACTGTAGGTAAATTTCTTAAAAACTCTGTCACTGTGACCTAAAATTGATAAGTTGGATGAGATTAGCAGTTTACTGTTTTTTCACAATTTTTGTTTGGCAATGTGCAGAACAAAAAATAAAGATTTTTAAAATGGCGTACTATATAAACAAATGTAAGTTGATATATCATTAATTGATAAACAAACAATAATAAATTTTTTTTTTTTTTTTTTTTTCAGGTGATGATACAGAATTTCTATCTGAGGATGACTTAAACAGTGAAACAAGCTCAGTTACTGGTATCATGACTCCGACATTTCCCGTGGAAAATACCAATGTAAACAAAAACTCTGAAAGAGATATTTATAGAAAAAGTAAAAGAATGGAGGAAAGGAAAAAGGAAGAAGAATCAGTAACCATGCCAATTGATCCATCCCAGATCAAGACGGAACATCCTGACATCTTCAACATTGACTCTTTGGACCAAACTATTAATAGGAACTCTGAGATTTGTCCAAGGAAGTTCAATAGGTCGTACAGAGACATTGAAACAGAAATGATTATGACAGAAATTACTGGATCCCAGACTGGTTCCCCAGTTCAAAAAGAAACAGTTGTCAACATTAAAAAGGAGCCTAATAGTTCACCTATCAAAAGTTTGATGCAAATGGCAATGCAAAAAGGTTTATAAGATAGTGACCAATGGGGCAATTACAGTGAATCTGATATTGATAGTGTTGTTAATGTTGTCAATAGTAGAGACGAGGGGAAACAACTGGCAGATTGTCATGTAAATATTGTGAAAATTGAAGACCAGGGGAGGCAACTGGCTGATTGTCATGTAAATATTGTGAAAATAGAAGACCAAGGAAGGCAACTTGAAGATGGCATTGTAAATTTTGTGAATAGAGAAACCATGGGAGAGAACTAGAAGATAGTAATATCACTATTGTGAAAGAAGAAATACAGGGGAGGCAACTAGAGGAAGAGGCATATTTACAGATGGATGATATTGAAGCTCTTGTTCATTATACAAATAGAAAATCGCATTCAGTCAGTCCTTCGAAGAACAATGCTTCTCAACAGCCATCATTGTCAGCTAAACCTAAAACAATTGTTGGCCTGCGACTGACAGATGACAACAAAGGAAGTAAATCTCCAAATAAAAAGGGAGATTACTCTTTATCATTATCACCAAAAATGAAAAAGAACTATAAATTAAAAGACTATTCTGTGGTTTTGGACACTGATAAAGACATTCAGTCTAAATTGCTGAATTTACAGAAAAATGCAGAGTCTGGAAAGGAAGACATGAACAGTAGTGTACATGATTTAAAGAGAAGTGGAGACATTTCTGATTTAAAAAATGTTGCAAAGAAACCCAAAATTGGTCCAAAATGCATGAAAAGACAAGACAAAGATGAAGTAAATGATCACAAAAAGTCTAAATTTGTTATTGACCACAAAGCCAAAGTTTTGAAACTGAATTTATCAAGGTTGGATAAAAATCTGGAAGCAAATGAGACTGATAAAGAGATTGACAAAGAAGTGACAAAAAAGTTAGAAATTGAAAATGAAAGTAGAAAGGAGAAATCTCGTCCTAAACACAAGGAAAAATCTGAAAGTGAGAGTAAACGGACAAAAATTTCAGTAGAGAATAAAGAAAAAGAAAGATCAGATAATGAGAGTCGACATATAAAATCTTCTTCAGATGGAAATAGAAAACAGGACAAAAAACATGAAAATGACAGTCGGGAATATTCAGACAAACAAACATTCAGAAAATCTAAACATCCGCATTCAGAAAAGCATACGCATGGAATTTCAGAAAAACCTAAACATGGACAATCAGAGAAGCATAAACATGGAAATTCAGAAAAGCATAAACATGGATATTCAGAAAAATCTGAACATGGATATTCAGAAAAATCTAAACATGGACAATCAGATAAGCATAAACATGGAAATTCAGAAAAGCATAAAGAAGTCAAAGGAGAAAATTCTGAAAAGTACAAGAATTTTCCTGATAAAAGTGGTTCCAAAAAAGGAGATGATGACCAGCAAATAAAATCATCAAAAAATCTAAAGAGGAAAGCAAATGAAGAGGAAAACATTGCCAGTAAAAAGTCAAAGCACGATGACAAAACTGAAAACTGTGAAGTAAAGAAAGATTCCATAAAAACACCTGAGACTAAAATGATATCTGTTGAGGTAAAGAAGAAAGAAAATAAAAAGGAAGAAAAACTGCATGAACCATCGAAGAAATTGGAGGAAAGCTTAAGTAATGCTTCTAATACTATAGAATTGACAATGAAATGTAAACTTTGTAAAGAAATCCATAGCTCTAAATCAGCATTAGAAAAGCACATGATCAGTGTACCTAATACCAAATTGGGCCGTAAAAGATTTGGATGTAAACTTTGTACTCCATCTTTTGATACAATGTCTATATTGATCAAACATATCGAATCACACAAAGAGGAAAGAAAAAAAAGTGGTGAAGAAGAAGGAAACACAGAAACAGTTCAAACAAATAAAAGAGAAGGAAAAGGAAAGACAGAAACATTAGAAACAAAAACAAGAGAACAAAAAGGAAAGACAGAAACAATAGAAACAAAAATAAGAGAACAAAAAGGAAAGACAGAAACAAAAGGAACAAAAACAAGAGAACTAAAAGGAAAGACAGAAACAGTGAAAATAAAAACAAGAGAACAAAAGGGAGAGACAGAAACAAAAACAAGAGAACAAAAAGGAAAGACAGAAACAAAAATAAGAGAACATAAAGGAAAGATAGAAACAGTAGAATCAAAAATAAGGAGAGAAAAATTGGCAATATGTCATGTAAGTGACAAAAAGGAAGGAACAACCAAATCACAGATGACATCAAAATTTCTATCTGAAGATGACTTGAACAGTGAAACAAGCTCAGTTACTGGTATCATGACTCCGACATTTCCCGTGGAAAATACCGATGTAAACAAAAACTCTGAAAGAGATATTTATAGAAAAAGTAAAAGAATGGAGGAAAGGAAAAAGAGCGAAGAATCAGTAGTCGTGCCGATTGATCCATCCCAGATCAAGACAGAACATCCTGACATCTTTCGACATTGACTCCTTGGTCCATACTATTAATAGGAACTCTGAGATTTGTCCAAGGAAGTTCAATAGGTCGTACAGAGACATTGAAACAGAAATGATTATGACAGAAATTACTGGATCCCAGACTGGTTCCCCAGTTCAAAAAGAAACAGTTGTCAACATTAAAAAGGAGCCTAATAGTTCACCTATCAAAGGTTTGATGCAAATGGCAATGCAAAAAGGTTTAGAAGATAGTGACCAATGGGGCAATTTCAGTGAATTTGATATTGATAGTGTTGTTAATGTTGTCAATAGAAGATACGAGGGGAGACAACTGGCAGATTGTCATGTAAATATTGTGAAAGTAGAAGACCAGAGGAGGCAACTGGCTGATTGTCATGTAAATATTGTGAAAATAGAAGACCAAGGAAGGCAACTTGAAGATGGCATTGTAAATTTTGTGAATAGAGAAACCATGGGAGAGAACTAGAAAAACAGGGGAGGCAACTAGAGGAAGAGGCATATTTACAGATGGATGATATTGAAGCTCTTGTTCATTATACAAATAGAAAATCGCATTCAGTCAGTCCTTCAAAGAACAATGCTTCTCAACAGCCATCATTGTCAGCTTAACCTAAAACAATTGTTGGCCTGCAATTGGCAGATGACAACAAAGGAATCTCCAAATAAAAAGGGAGATAACTCTTTATCATTATCACCTCAAATGAAAAAACTATAAATTAAAAGACTGTTCTGTGGTTTTGGACACCGATAAAGACATTCTGTCTAAACTGCTGAATTTACAGAAAAATGCAGAGTCTGGAAAGAAAGACATGAACAGTTGTGTACATGATTTAAAGAGAAGTGGAGACATTTCTGATTTTAAAAATGTTGCAAAGAAACCCAAAATTGGTCCAAAATGCATGAAAAGACAAGACAAAGATGAAGTAAAAGATCACAAAAAGTCTAAATTTGTTATTGACCACAAAGCCAAAGTTTTGAAACTGAATTTATCAAGGTTGGATAAAAATCTGGAAGCAAATGAGACTGATAAAGAGATTGACAAAGAAGTGACAAAAAAGTTAGAAATTGAAAATGAAAGGAGAAAGGAGAAATCTCGTCCTAAACATAAGGAAAAATCTGAAAGTGAAAGTAAACCGACAAAAATTTCAGTAGAGAATAGAGAAAAAGAAAGATCAGATAATGAGAGTCGTCATATAAAATCTTCTACAGATGGAAATAGAAAACAGGACAGAAAACATGAAAATTACAGTCGGGAATATTCAGACAAACATAAACATTCAGAAAAACCTAAACATCCGCATTCAGAAAACCATACGCATGGAATTTCAGAAAAACCTAAACATGGACAATCAGAGAAGCATAAACATGGGAATTCAGAAAAGCATAAACATGGGAATTCAGAAAAGCATAAACATGGATATTCAGAAAAATCTAAACATGGACAATCAGATAAACATAAACATGGAAATTCAGAAAAGCATAAAGAAGTCAAAGGAGAAAATTCTAAAAAAGTACAAGAATTTTCCTGATAAAAGTGGTTCCAAAAAAGGAGATGATGACAAGCAAATAAAATCACCAAAAAATCTAAAGAGTAAAGCAAATGAAGAGGAAAACATTGCCAGTAAAATCTCAAAGCACAATGACAAAACTGAAAACTATGACGAAAAGAAAGATTCCATAAAAAGACCTGAGACTAAAATAATATCTGTTGAGATAAAGAAGAAAGAAAATAAAAAGGAAGAAAAACTGCATGAACCATCGAAGAAATTGGAGGTAGGTGTTGTTTCATTTTCTATTCTATTGCATCATTCACACATTCATGTAGTTCATTTCTATGTATGTTGGCGTTTGTTTTTGTTGCACTTCAGTATTTCTGTTGTAACCCGGATTTGTTTTCTCTCAATTGATTTATGACTTTTGAACAGCGGTATACTACTGTTGCCTATATTCCTGGATTTCAGCAATTCAACATGGCGTGTCACTCCATAGTTACAACATGTCAACTGTGGATTTGACAGTAAATAGCCAACGAAAAAAATATTTGGATTAAGAATTATAAGGATTGAACACATTTTTGTCTTGCCTTGACGGAGTCAAAAAGCGAGACATAGGTATGATGTTTCCGGAATCGGCGGCGGCGACGTCAACAATGTATTAGTTTGTGATAAGGTCTAGTTCATGGTGAACCACTAGTGGTAGGTCAATGATATTTGGTATGCAGTTGTATTAACATTGGCACATCTCATTACCATGGAGATTATTTGGCCCCGCCCCCTCAGTCAAGGTCTATTGACTTTGAAACTTTTCATAGTTTACATGTATTAGTTTGTGATTAGGTCAATTTATGGGGAACCACTAGTGGTAGGTTAATGATATATGGTATGCAGTTGTATAAGCATTGCCATATCTCATTTCCATGGAGATTATTTGGCTCCGCCCCCTTAGTCATGGTCTATAGACTTTGAAAATTTTGCTAAGTTAACATGTATTAGTTTGTGATTAGGTCAGTTCAAGGGGAACCATTAGTCATGTTAGTGGTAGGCAGATGTTAATGGTGTTCAGTTGTATAAGCATTAGCACATCTCATTTCCATGGAGAATATTTGGCCCCGCCCCCTCAGTCATGGTCTATTTACTTTGAAACTTTTGCTTAGTTTACATGTATTAGTTTGTGATTAGATCAGTTTAAGATGAACTGCTAATGTTAAGTCAGTGATATTTGGTATGCTAATGTATTGGCATTTGCACATATCGTTTCCATGGAGATTATATAGCCCCACCCCTGATCATGGTTCATTGACTTTGAAACTTTTACATAGTTTACAAGTTAATGTTTGTGTTTAGGTTTGTTTAAAAGGAATGACTTATGATAAGTCAATGGTATTTGGTATGCAGTTGTATTAGCATTGGCACATCTCATTCCATGGAGATTGTTTAACCATGTGCATTCAGTCATGGTTCATCGACTTTGAATATTTGCATAACTTACATGTTAAAGTATTGCTATTTTAATTTCAACATTTGCATTATCGAAATTACAAAAAGGCGAGACATATCTCTGTGATAACAGTTTATTTCTAGTGGTTATTTAAGAAATAATTCATGCAAGCCTTGGATTTATTTGAAATTTTTAGCTTTTATCTTACAGGGGGTAAAATAGAACTGCAATACACAAGGCAATCTTACCTTCACTTCAGTTTTTCAAATAACCATATTTGTCCCGTTAGAATCGAAATAATTCATGCAAGCTATAGATTTGTTATCATTTCCACATGGCCTGTGGCTAACGCTCGAGATAAAATCCAAACATAATGGCCAGGCCGTGTGAAATTTTCCAACAAATCTATGGCTTGCATAAATTATTTCTTAATTATGTTATATGTCCAACCACGTAAACTTGTTTATGTTTTTGTCAACAAATGTTGGTTGATCTAATCTTGACCTTTTAGTTGATGCCATTTAAAATGACAGGGATTATGACATCTGACCTACCTTGTGTATAAATATATATATAAATATGACCTTTTTATGATCATAATTTACATAAATGTATTTACAGATTTTTAGCAGTTGTTTGGTAACTAAAACATCACCAGATTCAGATGACGAACTGGAAGATTTAGGTCTGCAGCAATTGCCTGAAAATACACCAAGATATATCACACACTGTGAGTAGCTTTATTATGTGAAAGGGGACTGTTAGAAGGGGGCTTGAAAATATAGGTAGGTTTAATGTAGTTAAATGTCAAAATAGCATATTTTTATGCCCCCACAGTAGGGGAGGGGGCATTAAGTTTTTCCCTTGTCCGTCTACTTCCGTCAGTACGTCCCAAAGTTGGTTTCTGTTCTCTAACTTTAGTTTGCCTTAACCAAATGTTATGAAACTTATACACAGTGCTTATTACCACTAAATACAGATCAAGTTTGAATTTTGGTGGCGTCACTTTTACCATTCTAGAGTTATGCCCCTTTACAGATGGAAAAATTGCTAAATTTTTCGTTTCCGTTCTCTAACTAAAGTTTGCCTCAACCAAATGTTATGAATCTTATACACAATGCTTATTACCACAATATACAGATCAAGTTGGAATTTTGGTGACGTAACTTTTACTGTTCTAGAGTTATGCCCTTTACAAATGAAAAAAAATCCAGAATTTTTCATTTTTTTTTTCTAAATATCAAGTATTTTTTAAATTGGAGTTATCTTTCTTTGTCCATGATTTAATTTTACCTTCCACTGATAAATTAAAGCATTTTTACCCTTCATTTCTAAAAATATTTTAAAGTCTTTTTTGAAAATTGGAGTTATCTTTCTTTGTGCATAATTGTAGTTGAATCAACTACAACCAATGCTTTATACAATGCAATATTCAATTTTACTTCCTACTGATAAATTAAAGCAATCTTTACCATTCAGTGCTTACAAGCACTTTGATTACTGTTCTAGAATTATGCCTATTTACAAATGAAAAAATTGCTGACTTTTTCGTTTCCGTTCTCTAACTTTAGTTTGTCTTAAATTAATGTAATGAAATGTATATATAATGCTTTTTACCAAAAAACTCAGTTTAATTTTTTGTTTTCGTTTTCTAACTTTAGTTTGCCTCAACCAAATGTTGTGAAACTTATACACAATGCTTATTACTACATAATACAAATTAAGTATGAAATTTGGTGGCGACACTTTTACCATTCTTGAGTTATGTCCCTTTATAAACATAAAAATTGCTGAATTTTTATACGTCCGTTTACGGGACGTATTTTGGTATACCGTTGTCCGTCTGTCTGTCTGTCCGTCGTCAACATGTCGGACATTAACTCAAAAATGCTTTAACCAATTTGCATAAAACTTTGGTGAATTGTTTATATCTATTGACGTGAGCTCCCTTTCGTTTTTTATAAAATTGAGATTTTATGTTTCTGAGTTATGGGGTTTTATTCATTAAAAAAAGGGATTTCCAGTTTTCGGACAATAAGTCAAGAATGCTTTCCCCAACTTGCAAGAAATTGTGGTGAATTTTTTATATCTATTGACATGAGCTCCCTTTCGATTTTTATAAATTTTAGATTTTACATTTCGGAGTTACAGGGTTTTATTCATAAAAAAGGGGGGGATTTTCCAGTTTTCGGACAAAAATTCAAAAATGCTTTCAGCAATTCTTATGAAACTTTGGTGAATTGTTTTTATGTATTGATGTAAGCTCCCTTTAGAGTTTTATAAATTTTACATTCTACATTTCTGAGTTATGGGGTTTTATATATTAAAAAAAGGGGTGATTTTCCAAATTTCAGACAATAACTCAAAAATGCTGTCACCAATTCTCATGAAACTTTGGTGAATTGTTTATATCTATTGATGTAAGCTCCCTTTTTATTTTCATAAATTTCTGATATGACATTGAGAATTAATTGAACTTTATTTGTTTATAGTCTGACAACAGATTTACTAAGTATTGCACAACAGCAAGAAATCTTTAATTGAATATAAATTCAATTCATATTACCAATTTCAAGATCTTTGACTACATTTATTCAGAAACCCATAATATGTCAAATATTTAATTACAATCCAAATTCAGACCTGAATCAAGCTTGAATATTGTGTCCATTTTTGCCCCAACTGTTCAGGGTTGGACCTCTGCGGGCGTATCTAGCTGCACTCAGCGAAGCAGTTTATTGGTTTCCGTTCTCTAACTTTAGTTTATCTCAACCAAATGTTATAAAACTTATACACAACCGTTTTAGAGTTATGCGTATTTACAAATAGAAAAATTGCTGAATTTTTAGTTTCTGTTCTCTTCTTAAGTTAGCCTCAACCAAACGTTATGAGACTTACACACAATGCTTATTACCACAAAACTCAGATCAAGTTCAAATTTGGGTAGCATCACTTTTACCGTTCTTCAGTTATGTCCCTTTATAACTATATGATTTGTAAGCGGGGGCATCATCTGTGTCCACATGTGGACACAATCCACATTTTCTACATATTTTTATCATTTGATTTTATGTTTGCTGTTACACCACTGTCTAAGACTAGATGGGAGAGAAGGCTACATGCAAACTTGTTTTGCTCATTGCTCATTGTTGAAGGCTGTACAGTGACCTATAGTTTTTAACTTCCACCTTATTTGGTCTCTGGTGGAGAGTTGTTTCATTGACAATCTGTGAATCATACCACATCTTCTTATTTTTATGTTAACCCTGTTACATTCTGTATGTGCCTGTTCCAAGTTAGGACCTGTAATTCAGTGTGGTTTTACCTTGTTACATTCTGTATGTGCCTGTTCCAAGTTAGGACCTGTAATTCAGTGTGGTTTTACCTTTTTACATTCTGTATGTCCCTATTCCAAGTTAGGACCTGTAATTCAGTGTGCTTGTTGTTTCATATACAGTATCATATTTTTATTGTTTTGTACATAAATCAGGCCAGTTTCTTTACTTGTTTAAATTGTTAGACATTTGTTATTTTTCTGCCTTTTAAAGCTTGCTATGCAGTATGGGTTTTGCTCACTGTTGAATGTTGTACGATGACATGAACTTAATAACTTATATATCATATGGTCTCTATTGGAGAGTTGTCTCATTGGTTATTATACCAGAGGGGCGGATCCAGCCATTTTTAAAAGGGGGGGTTCCCAACCCAGGATAAAGGGGGGGTTCCAACTATATGTCCCCATTCAAATGCATTGATCGTCCAAAAAAAAGGGGGGGTTCCATATTGACAGGAAATTATGATTCAATTTTTTTTTCTTATACAATTTTTTTTTCTTACACATATTTTATTTCTCCAATGACAATGTGGGGATGTGGGGTATGTGAGCGCGCTCACTAAGGTTCTTTAATTTTCACAATTTTTGTTTGGCAATGTGCAGAATAAAAAATAAAGATTTTTAAAATGGCGTACTATATAAACAAATGTAAGTTGATATATCATTTATTGATATACGAACAATAATAAATATATTTTTATTTTTATTTTTTCAGGTGATGATACAGAATTTCTATCTGAGGATGACTTAAACAGTGAAACAAGCTCAGTTACTGGTATCATGACTCCGACATTTCCCGTGGAAAATACCAATGTAAACAAAAACTCTGAAAGAGATATTTATAGAAAAAGTAAAAGAATGGAGGAAAGGAAAAAGAGCTAAGAATCAGTAGTCCTGCGGATTGATCCATCCCAGATCAAGACAGAACATCCTGACATCTTCGACATTGACTCCTTGGTCCATACTATTAATAGGAACTCTGAGATTTGTCCAAGGAAGTTCAATAGGTCGTACAGAGACATTGAAACAGAAATGATTATGACAGAAATTACTGGATCCCAGACTGGTTCCCCAGTTCAAAAAGAAACAGTTGTCAACATTAAAAAGGAGCCTAATAGTTCACCTATCAAAGGTTTGATGCAAATGGCAATGCAAAAAGGTTTAGAAGATAGTGACCAGTGGGGCAATTTCAGTGAATTTGATATTTGATAGTGTTGTTAATGTTGTCAATAGAAGAGACGAGGGGAGACAACTGGCAGACTGTCATGTAAATATTGTGAAAGTAGAAGACCAGGGGAGGCAACTGGCTGATTGTCATGTAAATATTGTGAAAATAGAAGACCAAGGAAGGCAACTTGAAGATGGCATTGTAAATTTTGTGAATAGAGAAAACCATGGGAGAGAACTAGAAGATAGTAATATCACTATTGTGAAAGAAGAAATACAGGGGAGGCAACTAGAGGAAGAGGCATATTTACAGATGGATGATATTGAAGCTCTTGTTCATTATACAAATAGAAAATCGCATTCAGTCAGTACTTCGAAGAACAATGCTCCTCAACAGCCATCATTGTCAGCTAAACCTAAAACAATTGTTGGCCTGCAACTGACAGATGACAACAAAGGAAGTAAATCTCCAAATAAAAAGGGAGATTACTCTTTATCATTATCACCAAAAATGAAAAAGAACTATAAATTAAAAGACTGTTCTGTGGTTTTGGACACTGATAAAGACATTCAGTCTAAACTGCTGAATTTACAGAAAAATGCAGAGTCTGGAAAGGAAGACATGAACAGTAGTGTACATGATTTAAAGAGAAGTGGAGACATTTCTGATTTTAAAAATGTTGCAAAGAAACCCAAAATTGGTCCAAAATGCATGAAAAGACAAGACAAAGATGAAGTAAAAGATCACAAAAAGTCTAAATGTGTTATTGACCACAAAGCCAAAGTTTTGAAACTGAATTTATCAAGGTTGGATAAAAATCTGGAAGCAAATGAGACTGATAAAGAGATTGACAAAGAAGTGACAAAAAAGTTAGAAATTGAAAATGAAAGGAGAAAGGAGAAATCTCGTCCTAAACAAATAGAAAAATCTGAAAGTGAAAGTAAACTGACAAAAATTTAAGTAGAGAATAAAGAAAAAGAAAGATCAGATAATGAGAGTCGACATATAAAATCTTCTACAGATGGAAATAGAAAACAGGACAGAAAACATGAAAATGACAGTTGGGAATATTCAGACAAACATAAACATTCAGAAAAACCTAAACATCCGCATTCAGAAATACATATGCATGGAATTTCAGAAAAACCTAAACATGGACAATCAGAGAAGCATAAACCTGGGAATTCAGAAAAGCATAAACATGGATATTCAGAAAAATCTAAACATGGACAATCAGATAAGCATAAACATGGAAATTCAGAAAAGCATAAAGAAGTCAAAGGAGAAAATTCTGAAAAGTACAAGAATTTTCCTGATAAAAGTGGTTCCAAAAAAGGAGATGATGACAAGCAAATAAAATCATCAAAAAATCTAAAGAGGAAAGCAAATGAAGAGGAAAACATTGCCAGTAAAAAGTCAAAGCACAATGACAAAACTGAAAACTGCGACAAAAAGAAAGATTCCATAAAAAGACCTGAGACTAAAATGATATCTGTTGAGGTAAAGAAGAAAGAAAATAAAAAGGAAAAAAAACTGCATGAACCATCGAAGAAATTGGAGGGAAGCTTAAGTAATGCTTCTAATACTATAGAATTGACAATGAAATGTAAACTTTGTAAAGAAATCCATAGCTCTAAATCAGCATTAGAAAAGCACATGATCAGTGTACATAATATCAAATTGAGCCGTAAAAGATTTGGATGTAAACTTTGTACTCAATCTTTTGATACAACGTCTATTTTGATCAAACATATCAAATCGCACAAAGAGGAAAGAAAAAAAAAGTGGTGAAGAAAAAGGAAACACAGAAACAGTCCAAACAAATAAAAGAGAAGGAAAAGGAAAGACAGAAACATTAGAAACAAAAACAAGAGAACAAAAAGGAAAGACAGAAACAATAGAAACAAAAATAAGAGAACAAAAAGGAAAGACAGAAACAAAAATAAGAGAACATAAAGGAAAGATAGAAACAGTAGAATCTAAAATAAGGAGAGAAAAATTGGCAATAAGTCATGTAAGTGACAAAAAGGAAGGAACAACCAAAATCACAGATGACATCAAAAATTTCTATCTGAAGATGACTTGAACAGTGAAACAAGCTCAGTTACTGGTATCATGACTCCGACATTTCCCGTGGAAAATACTGATGTAAACAAAAACTCTGAAAGAGATATTTTTAGAAAAAGTAAAAGAATGGAGGAAAGGAAAAAGAGCGAAGAATCAGTAGTCGTGCCAATTGATCCATCCCAGATCAAGACAGAACATCCTGACATCCTCGACATTGACTCCTTGGTCCATACTATTAATAGGAACTCTGAGATTTGTCCAAGGAAGTTCAATAGGTCGTACAGAGACATTGAAACAGAAATGATTATGACAGAAATTACTGGATCCCAGACTGGTTCCCCAGTTAAAAAAAAAACAGTTGTCAACATTAAAAAGGAGCCTAATAGTTCACCTATTAAAGGTTTGATGCAAATGGCAATGCAAAAAGGTTTAGAAGATAGTGACCAGTGGGGCAATTTCAGTGAATTTGATATTGATAGTGTTGTTAATGTTGCTCATAGCTCTAAATCAGCATTAGAAAAGCACATGATCAGTGTACATAATATTTTAAATCCTGGTTGACCTTGCTTTACCTACGAAATCAACGAAAATTGGAACACCATGAATAAAAATGAATCCACTGTAACTTAAGTACTTAGATATAGGAAGATGTGGTATGAGTGCCAATGAGACAACTCTCCATCCAAGTAACAATTTATAAAAGTAAACCATTATAGGTCAAGGTACGGCCTTCAACACGGAGCATTGGCTCATACCGAACAGCAAGCTATAAAGGGCCCTAAAAATTACTAGTGTAAAACCATTCAAACGGGAAAACCAACGGTCTAATCTATATAAAAACGAGAAACAAGAAACATGTATGGACTACATAAACAGACGACAACTACTGTACATCAGATTCCTGACTTGGGACAGGTGCAAACATTTGCAGCGGGATTAAACGTTTTAATGGTACCAAACCTTCTCCCTTTTTCTGAAACAATAGTATAACATCACAACATAGAAAGACATAAAATATCAATTGGAAGGCTTAACTCAATCAAAAAACGTTAATTAACACACAATGAACAAATAACTTTGATCTGTGATATCTGAATGCAAATACATAGTTAATAAAAATTATAAGGGATAAATGATAAAGGTCAAAAGTAAATAAACAGGTTTAAACAAAGTTCAAGTATGATACCACTGTGAAATTTTAAACAATATTTAGAAAATCATCACTTTTGAAAAAACCTGCGTCATATTATACACAGGTAAATGAAAATAATTTTGTTGTTAAGTATACTTCTTCTTCTGTGTGTATAAAATCTTCCTTTTAGGAATGTTTTAAGAAATATCACGTGTTTGAATATAGAATCGCTCAGATGGAACTGTAGTAAACCAATAGTTATATTACCGGTACCTGAAACAAGCATTTTCACCTTCAGATTATATTCCTATGAATACTGGACTACCATTTACATACATTGTACCATTAGCTTTAGACTTTAAAGGACCTCTGGGTCAGTGTACTTTCAAATTTCAATATAAAAATAGGGGGTTACTGACCTTTTTTTTTCTTTGAAATGCATTGAAATTAAAGGTATCTGACACAGTTATATAGAAGAAACTTAATTTCTCCTTAATGAGGAAACATTAAACGATAGAATTGGTTAAAATTCCATGAGAGATTTTCTTTCAATAAATACTTCAGATATGAAATTAAAATAGGGAGTCACATGCATTATTATCTTAAAAAATAAAAGATGAAACACAAATTGTTCTTTCAAACTCAGTTTTATTATATGCCCTTGATTTTTAAATTGATTTTTTTTCTGAAAATTTAGATACACTTAAGGATGTTGCCCCTCTTGTTTTTGAATTATTTGCCAGATTTTCGGAATCTTCTGGTTTTATTCATGTACTGCCATTAACAAATTTTGCCTGCTAACCCTACTTTTCTTTTCATGATTTTATTACATATAGTTTAAAAAGCCATATTTGAAAATCTTATAAAATCCTTGTTATTTTTTCATAGTTTTTGAAAGAAAAAAGGCCTCAATGTTAAATGTAGGGAAATTCTAGAGAGAATCATTACCAGCCAAATTTTCAAAGGTTTATATCTCGAAAACAATCACACGCATCCTTCATTTTTTTATGCTTTTTTAGCTCATATATTTGTATACTATCAATTTATAACAGTTTTTTAAAAAGCTTGTTATTTTGAAACAGAGAAGCTAACATCCTTAATTGTTTGATAGTATAATCTTAAAATTTCAAGATTTTGATGTTTCTGTTGTATATTGAATGATATTGGGAAAAACATTTTTAAACCAAAATAGCATTTTTGCAACATGCCCAGAAGGGATGCAAAGAAAAAGACACCCAATTTACCTTAAAAACAGTTTGTGAGGGCAGAGTTCGTTAAAAGACTCAAAACTGAATTATGTATTGATGATGAGAGGTCACATTACTTAAACAAATATTTAAGAAGGGAAATACCTAAATTGTTTATTGAGGTTTCGTTGGATAAGGGATGGGAAATTTGTATTTCATTTAATGAAAGCCCCCTTCCTTTCTTGAATAGCCTATTAGATCAAACTATGCAGACAAGTTTGTCATTTGTAAATACAGTTGTATGGATTTCAAACTTGCAATATATTAAATCATTATATATCGAAAGTGTTCTTTTATTGTATATAAATAAAAGGAGATGTGGGATATACATATGCTAGACAGCAAGCAAACAACAAAAAAAAAACAAAACACATCTAAGCCCATCTTTTAAGTGGCTAGAAAATAAAGATCTATATCATATAGTTCCAAATGTACAGGAGCTCTGTGGCCGTGTTGGCTAAGTAGTAACAAAACATGTTCAGAAAAAAAAAAAAGGGCCTACACGAACCAACGACAATTGCTGAATTACAGTTAATTTTTTCTTCTTTAAATTTTCTACCTATTATTTTGAGAACTAGAATAGAAAGGTTGAAACTTTTGTTAACAAAAATTATCAGCATTACAAGATCTCAGTTAAATAGGTCAACATGGCTGAAATGGTCAACCGATCCCAAATTGAAGTTTTCGCGCTTTAATGATGATACAGTTAAGAATGGAAAAAGAGACAACAACCCGAAAAAAGAGCAGAAAACAGCACAAGGCACCAATGGGTCTTCAACGCAATGAGAAAATTTCGCACCCAGAGGCGGCTTCAGCTGGACCCTAAACAAAAATATAAACTAGTCCAGCAAAATGAACACCACGCCAAACTCTGTAACATATAAATGAACCAACATTGAAAAAAACATACGACTAACAGAGGCCAGTGGTTCCTGACTTGGAGACAGGCGCAAACATGCGGCGGGGTTAAACACATCATGTGAGATCTCAACCCTTCCCTAATACCTCTAGCCAATGTGGAATATACAAACACACAGCAATACTCACAGTAAAACTCAGTTTAAAAGAAGTCTGAGTCCGATGTAAGAATAAGTTACAGAAGAAACTAAACAAAATGACAACAATCAACATAAATCAAAGGATTACTAGCAGTATCTGACAGGCCAGCTTTAGACCTCAAGTAAACTGATCGAAAGATTATGTTTTCATCATTTATTTTACAATGATATTTTGCATTTTTGCCTACAACTTGAAAATTATGACACATAGATCGAAATTTAAAAAAGCAAAAATAATCAACAAAAAAGGATCCACAAATAAGATGTCATGGTTACAAGTCGACTTTTTATATGTTTTGTCATTAAAACACAATTTTTAGCGTTTTTGCTAATCATCTTGAAAGCTGTAAAAGATAGAAACTTTAAAAAGCAACAATGATCAGCAAGACAAGATGTACAAATAGATCAACATACATGACATTGTCAATTGGCTCCCTATAGGGGTTATTGCCATTTAATAGCCTTTTTATCAGGTTTGTTTGCCATATGGGCAAGAAACGATAAAAAAATTGGTCAACAAAGTGGCAAATGTCAGTCCAATTTATTGGATGACATATAGTGTTGACACACGTTAATTGTTTGAGACTGTATATTAAATAATTATATGTGATATGATTGTTAATGAGATATCTATCCATCAGAGTCGAAATGCTGTGGATGTCAAATAACTATAGGTTACCACCGTACAACTGTCAACTCCGGAATGCCAAAATGTGAAAGAGCTCAAACAAGAAAATCAAAAGCCCCAATTTTGATCGACAACATATTTGTGGAGTTGTTGATGGATTAATATTTCAGCTGGATGTCGGTTTCACAATGAGTTCTAACTGTGCAACCTACAAACCATATTTTTTCTGTACTCACATGAAGCAGAAATTCATACAGGACCTTCTCTAAGACAAAAGAAAAAAGTGTCTGTCAAAGTTTTTATACGACCGCAAAAAAATTTTGTGGTAGTATATTGGTATGACGTTGGCGTCGTCGTCCGAAGACGCATTGGTTTTCGCACAATAACTTAAGTTTAAGTGTATGGATCTCTATGACATTTTACCATAAGGTTCAATACCACAAAAGGAAGGTTGGGATTGATTTTGGGGGTTATGGTACCCACAGTTAAGGAATTAGGGGCCAAAAATAAGCATTTTTGTAACTTCCAGACAATAACTTGTGTGTTAGTGTATGGATCTCTCTGACATTGTACCACAAGGTTCCATATCACAAAGGAAATGCTGGGATTGATTTTAGGGGTAATTGCCTCAAAATTTTAGGAATTAGGAGCCAAAAAAGGGGCAAAAAACAAGCATTTTTTTAGTTTCATTACAATTACTTGTGTGTAAGTGTATGGGTCTTTCTGAAATTGTACTACAAGGTTCCATATCACAAAGGGAAAGCTGGAATTGAGTTTGGGGGTAATTACCCAAAATGTTAAGGAATAAGGGGCCAAAAGTAATCATTTTTCTAGTTCCCAGACAATAACTTGTGTTCAAGTGTATGGATCTCTCTGAAATTGTACTGCAAGGTACCATACCACAAAGGGAAGGCTGGGATTGAATTTGGGGGTGATGATTCATAAGGGGGTATCAAGCTTGAATGTTGTGTCCATACTTGCCTCAACTGTTCAGGGTTCGACCTCTGCGGTCGTATCAAGCTGCGCCCAGCGGAGAATTTTATTAAATATAACTTTCAGATATATTTTAGTGTATTGATGTTCAGTCACTCAATAACCCACATTTCAATCAGTGCTTACATCCCATATATCCTAGTGAGCTTGATATTGAGGATACAACTAGAACAAGGTCTGCTTCATATCTTGATCTTTCCCTAAATACTGACACAGATTGACGACTTCAAACTAGAATCGATGACAAATATATATGAAAATTGATTGCTTCATTCAATAGATTGGCACAAAGCACAAAAAGACAAAAGACTAGTACACATTACAGATATAAAAGAGAGACGAAAGATACCAAAGGAACATTCAAGGTGTGATACCACCTTTGATTTTCCCCTATTAGTCTTTGTTAAATTTGCACTTTTCAAAAAATTATGCAGAATTTAGCTTTATTTCAAATAAAGAAATACTTGGCATGAGTAAAGTTTTATCTTGTCCGGTACTATGGACAAAATTTCACATTACATTTCATTGCATATAAATAACCATCACAGGAAGTTAACCAATCAAATTTTCACCCCTTGTGTACAAGCTAAATAGTAACCATGTAACCCCTCACGTTTCCAAAATATTCTATAGAAACACCAGAGACATATAATACTCTACTTGTATTATATGTCTCTGGAAACACCAAATAAAAACATAATGGTGCTTTGAAACACCCAAGATATATGTTTATGACTCCAAATTTTTTTACTGCAATGAAATTTAGGATTAATTTCCTACAATTGTGAAATTCAAGGGAATATTTTTTTCGACCCGTTTTCGTAACAACCGGATGATTTGGTGGTATTACACCTCAATCTCACTGACAACGCCTTGGCAAAAAAAGGGAAAAAGACCTAAAGACAAACAACAGTATACAAAACACAATATAGAAAAACTAAAGACTTCACGAACGCAACCAAAAAACTTGGGGGGGGGGGGGGGGGGGGGGAAGGGGGTTAGGCTCCACATGTGGCATCCCAAGCTGTCTTTGTTCTAAAACATAATTTCATAATACATATTTTGTTGTTGCAAATGCAATTTATATTGTTTAATTAAAATTTACTATTATTCAAATCGGGGAATCATTAATTAAGGAATGTAACTCCCTCACGCATGTTTGAAAGCTTTCCAGCGTTTTATTATGTTTCGGATTTTAAAATACTTAGAACGAGATAATCACTGAAAAGACTCTAGTTGTCAAAATGTCATCTGGTGCAGTAAAAAGTATTGCTGATTTAATGAGCGTTGAGTACATAATTTAGTCTTAAAGTGAACATGGCAATAACCTGTAAGGTCATAAAGATGATCGAAGTTGTTTAGTTGTAAGTGCTCGGGAAGATTTTATTCGTGGTTTTTAAACATACTTAGTTTGGGTTATTTGATCGCAGATATAATTTACCTATGAAACTAAGAGTTTAAAGATCAAATAAAATACATTTATTTTTGAAAATGTAAAAAAAATAAATTATGAGAACATTTATTTGCATTGTATTTTGAATACCTTCACATATAAAATAGTTTATTAAAATTTATTATGTTTGTTTATCTTTAATGATTTTCATCATATCTAAACTGAAATTTGTTTGTGTCGCAAAATAAATATTTCACCATTATATCCGTTCATGGTTTTGAACCCCTACCCTGTTTTATAAAATTTTGTGAAAAATATGACAACGAGCAATATAGAAATCACTGCAATCTTGTCCGGTTCATAACTTCAGTTCGTAGTAATATAATACTTGTTTAGTTTATTTATGATTTTAATTCATTTTTGGCCGGGTTGCACAAATTGCAAACCAGCGCATTATAAGTATGGTGAATGGCTGCATGCATGCTGATGTGGAAAAGATCATGGCATATGTTCTGGTACCAGAATATAGCCGCTATAGTGCCGCAATATAGCGGTAATAGTGCCGCAAACATAGTGCCAGAAAACTAATTTGCATACGAAATACTGGTGCCGCAACATGATGCCAGAATATTGCCGCTGTTATGGCACCAGAAAACCAGTTTGCATACGAAATACGCTATAGCTGCATTGATGCGGCAACAAAGCCGCAAAAGCCCTACTGCTGCCGCAACTATGTGCTAGAGGGCTTATATTTCTTATAGAAAACTTTCACATTGAGTGTCTTATAGAAAATTTTTCACATTGCATGAATGTTTTATTAAAAGTCACTCTTCCATAAACTGGTTTATGCAAACAAACTCAAAGCAAACTTCTGTCTCGTTGACAAATATTAAACAAACGTTCAAATAACATACTTTGTTCGGTGTTGAATACTGTTGATCTAAATTACATATGCAAATGATAAAACCATTATATATATGAATACAACTCTACAGAAAAAAAACAAAAATCTAATTAAAGAGGAATGTATGTGCGAAAGATTTGAAGAAAAGTAGATAAGGTAACCCGTTTTATTACTCATAAACCATGTTATTCTTTTATATAGTATATTCATAGATGATGTCTTCAAATGATTGTACGTTTGTTATGCCAGAAATATATGGTAATTGATTCGGGATATATATACACATATATCAAAAATTGTTGGGCAATTTCCGTTCCGCCAGTCTATTTATTTTCATGATTTCTTTTTTTAGAATCGAGGCTTCTAAAATCTTGTAGTGACTTGCAGGTATATTAACATAATTGTCCTTTAGTCTTCGTTGCATAGTTGTCTAATTGACAATCATACTATGTCTCTTGCTTTTCGGAAGACGGGTCCGGATTTAGGACAGTTTTTTTCTCTTCTTTCAAAACTTAGATTCGAATCTCATATTTTAATTACATTCATAATTGTACTTTGTCAATGTTATTATCTCTTTTTCTATATAAATATTGCTTAATCTAATAATAAGCTCTTCATATTTTTTATAAGCTTTCGAATTAATTTTCATTCCTCAAACAAAATATCGAAATAAAGGCTTCTGTATTAATATGGCGATTGTTTCATTCATGACGCCAAACGCAGGGTAACAGAAGCGGGGAAAAGTTACTACTTCCTATCGATTCACGTAAACTGTAAACTATCCAACATGGTCTACTGGTTTCATAAAGAATCTTTGTAATGTATATTGTGCTATATTTAAATCACGGTTTTCCGTAATAGTTATCCCATGAGGACTTGATGTGTCAGTGCAAGATCGTCCCGATGGCCGGAAGCCAGAGGGTGATCTAACACTGACACACCAAGTCAGAATGGGATAACTATTTTACATCCTAGCTGTTCTAGATTAGATAAAAAACCATTTACGCTTCATAAAATCTAGTTTAGAACGTCTTGAGTTCGATTCCAAGCATAGACACTGAATTTTTCAACATAAATTTTGATAGTTATAGTCTTTTCCGTATAAATATTTCTAAGTTTTAGTATAAATTTGACATTCCCGCCAAAATGTTACTGAACAAAGGAAAGCAGGCAGAACAAAGAAACCCAAGCTAGGGCGATATTTAAACTAGTTTATTTTTACCATAGGAGTTTGAATTTCCCTATGGTATCTTTCGCCTCCCTTTTGATAAATTGATATTATATTCCAGGATACTTTGCTGATCCTCTGTTTATATACGAGTGTTTTGTCTAATATTAAAGACAAAACTAAATCCGTCTTGTAAATAGAAGGACAAAATGGCGTCTGAGTTTCTGTCACTAGAGGAAGAAAATTGTGTTCGAATGAGTCTGCTTCTGACTGGAATTTCTCCACGTGTAGTAAGAGTCTTGTTTGATTGTGAATTTGCTCCTAAATGTCTATATTCTTCTTTGAAGAAGGAGTATAACAAACTGAGAGAGCTTAAGAGGCAACATATAATTAGTCACACACAGTGGGACCGCTTGCTCCCACCATTTCCTGGTAAGTACAGATGTGATTGATATCATTTACCTAGGGAAAAGTAAAATAACAAAAATACCGAACTCCGAGGTTAATTCAAAACGGAAAGTCCCTAATCTAATGGCAAAATCAAAATCTCAAACACATCAAATGAATGGATAACAACTATCATGTTTTTGACTTGGTACACAATTATTTTTATGTAGAAAATTGGTGGATTAAACCTGGTTTTATAGCTAGCTAAACCTTTAAATTGTATGACAGTCGCATAACTTGAAAATTCCATTATATTAACAACGATGTGAAAACCACGTGCTTCGATCGAGTAGCATTGACGGTAATTTCTCTTCATGGTATCTCCACTTAATATTGATTATTTTAAAGTGTTCCTACACATTTATATTTGATCCAAAATATTATAATTTATTTTGGTAGCATTTGTTTTACCTGCTCATGTTCTCGGAGGAAAAAACAACAAAAAGAAGGTCCGAGATATATTTGAATCAGAGATCAAACGAACAACACAGAAAGGAAAATACAGATTAACAATCACTTAGAAAAGACAAATTCATCTGTGATATTTAAGGCTTTATCTTCCTCGGAATTTAAAACACAATAAATAAACAATTCAATGAGTATGATATATCTACCAGAAACAAGGTATACGCCCAAAATTACTTTCTTAAATGATCTTAAATTTCACTTACAGTTTAGGTAGAATCCAGATTTAACTGGATATACTTAGTTCACACAATGAGAACTTTTACAACTTTATAGTGTTTCTGGATTAAACAGATATTTGGTACTCCCAACAGGAAGGCAAATGCACAACGTAAGAAATAATTGAATCTACGCATTATATATTTTGAGAGACTTTGTATTTACAACACGCCGCGGTCACGTGTCGTCATCTACAATTATTTCAAAAATTGAAAACAACACGTTTAATAATTTCATGCGTCCGAAGCGCTTTTCTGGATTTACCTTCATCAGGAACGCTCAAAGCCAAACATTTGAAATCCGAGGGATGTATAAGTACCGAAACAGTTGAAGAGCTATATGACAAAAATACCTTAAACAAATAACCAAATTCATCTAAGGTCAATTTTATAATTTTATAATTTCAAAATTTATAAACAGACAATTTTAGAAAGGTTTGTTATAAATCATGTTAGTACCAAAGTACTGACTGCTGAGCTGATGATACCCTCGGGGACTGATAGTCCACCAGCAGAGGTATCGACCCAGTGATGTAAAAAATTGAAAACAACACGTTTAATAATTTCATGCGTCCGAAGCGCTTTTCTGGATTTACCTTCAACTCTTTCAGCAGATTTGCATTCTTAGATTTCCCGAAAACGAACCATTGACTTAATTTCATAAGATCAATTTTGGCAATTTAAAATTGCCTAGCGATCATAGTTCATAAATGATATTATCACACCAAAATTGGTGTTTTAGTAAAATTAATATCTTCTTTTCGTTTTATTCGAGTTTTTTTTACCTCCGGTATAGAGAAGCCGTCTACAAATCAAATTTGTCAATGCGATAATCTTCAGTGAAAGGGATAATGTATATGACTGACAATCTACAGATGTTGTTAAACATGTTAAATAGCTAAAGACTGTCATCATGTAATCCTAAATAAAACAAATGAATTATTTTGAGTTTTCATTCGGA